CTTTTTTCTAAAGTACCTTGCCCCTTTAAAAACAGAAGAAACATATAGACCAAAAGCTATTCGAGACAAAGAATTTAGTTGTGTGAAAATGGCATCACGGTTTTTTAGTGCTCTTTTTACAATAATATTAATTTTGTATCATTTTGGGTATGACACAATAAGGTTACAACTTAAATTGAAACTGCAAAGTAAACTAAGTGCATATTAATTTGCATTATTATGTGGAGTTCCAATGTTTAGCATGCAACCACTATATTTTGGAGAAAAAAATGTCATGATGTCAATAGTTGCTTTTAAACTGAAAATGATTTCTAGTTTTTAGAAGATTTTGATTAAGGAAAACAGAAAACATGGTTTGTTCATCGTTTTACAAAATTTGTAATAAAAAAACATTCTCCACTTTTTAATCTCTTCAACTTTGAATAGAAAAAATCTTAGGCTTTCCAAACAAAAAAATCCAAATTTAAAGGAAAAGGGAAGAAATTAGAGTCCCCACGTATTAGAGTGCAACACTCTCAACCACCAAGCACAAAATTAAATAACAGGTTTACCTGCAGCCAAGGCCCATCATTCACAGCTTTGCAAGGAAATCCCATTTCTTCAAGCTGCTTTCTCACAGTGAGAAGTGCCTCAAAAGACATGTTACAATACAAAAGAGATCCTCCCTCAAAAATATTCACAAAGGCATCATAATCATCCCGGCTAATTCCATACTGTCCATTTAAGCAAGTTTTTGTCTCTCTTCGCCCCACAACCCTACCACCCCAAGATAGGGGAGGCATGTTACATCCTCCCCACTCACTGGGCATAAGCACATCACCAGAAGAACTCATAGAAGTGAGACTGCTTTGACCCTCAGGCAGCCAAGACGTGTCGTTTAATTGATAGCATGGATCTTCTTCCGATGGCCCTTCCAAAGCAGCCATACCATCACTCCCCAGCCCATCTTCTCCACTACTGTTTGGCATTTTAACAATAGAACATGAGGATATGGCTTCATCATCAGTACATAGAAAAGAGTCACTTGATAAAGCATGCCCAGTGCTGCATCCAGATTCCAAGTTGGTTTGAATGCACACTGGTTCTTGCAACTGTTGTTTATTATGCCCCTCAGTGATTGATACAACGGTGTAGTCTGCAAGCTCGATTGGAATATTGTGTGCAGTGTTGTGTCCTTTTCCATCCTTTAAGCTTAGATTCCTTAATTCAAGCTCTGTCCTTTTCTCAGTACTGCCATCATGTAAGTTTTTAGCCTTCACTCTAAGAGCATCACAATGCGTAGTTGTTCCTGTATCAGAACTAGACCTTCCCTGCCCATGATGCTCCATGTTGGAAAGATTGACTCTTGCGAGAAGACTATATAATGCCAGCTCAAAACTGTAAATGCATTAAATCAAAAGAAATTTGCTTGTAAGCTTTCAAAGAGAGTAATGAAAACAAAAGAGAACAAGCAAGACGGGCTCACACAAAGAAGGAATATTTTTTCTCACCGTTCCTCTTCACTTGGTACCCACAATTTATCAGAGGTCAGCAAAGTATGCAATGTCTGAGATGAAAGTTTAGGAAGGACCTGATATTCACAGGATACAGAACAATCAATTAACCGAAACAAGTTTAACACTTACAACAAGGTTTAATATAACTTCAGGTCTAGACCAATATTTCCCTACATCATAGTGCAACATATCACCTCACATAGAAATAAGAATTATAAAAAAAATGATGCAGCAGCTAGATGTCCAGCCTTGTCAGAAAAAACAAGGTTAAACCACACGGTAGACTTCTAGATGCATCCATATACCTCCAAACACAAGGTACAATAATTACAATTCATAGGAGAGAGGGTTTTGTCTAAGATTGAAAGTAAACCCCATGTAGAATGTTGTACAAACTTGTCATTTACCTTTTTTAACTCCATGGCACCACATTGACAAAGGTATCCCCAACAAGCATTTCTAACTCGCTCTCCATATATTCCATAATCTTGGCTCTCAGCAAACACCTGGAACATAGGCTTACATGGTTAAGTCTCAAAAAAAAGATACAAATGGTTTGAAAATAATCAGAGATCAGTCTAAATGCAACTGGAACCTGGTATGTTAAGAAGTTTGATGTCCATAGCTCAGAAATAATAAAGTCTGTGCATATTGCACATAAATCCTGCATTGAAAATGAGACCATCAACTAAAAAAGGAAACTTTTTTTGGCATGCTACGAGCTCTTGAGCATACTGAAATGTTGGGACCAATGTCAACTTAACCTGTAGCACTTCAACCTTTACTGTTCTTGTACTAAACTTTTCATCATACCATGAAATTTAAGAATGACACAAACTAAATATTAGCTTAAACGAAAAGAATAAAGCTCGTGGTTAACTAAAACTCTTGAAGAATAATATCTTTAGTGCTGTTTGCAGTTGACCTATAAGGCTATAACCACTTCGCGATTACCACGGAAACTCTTTTATTTGGTAATGGAAGAGAGGCAGACAGATGGTCGTTATCAATTAATAAGCCAGAGCTACTTTCAGGCACAAACAATTAGACTTTTGCATCAATATCACAGCTACTATAGAAAAAAAACAAGAATCAAGTGTGGTTTTGATGAGCATGCCTGAAGGTCAAGAAAGGATGCCACGGCAAGAACTCGAAATGCATTATTATCATTAAGCTTTGGGTGATGCCCATATAGATAAGCCAGAGCCAAAGCTATAGCCTCCCCATTGACATTATTATCATCCACATGCAACTTCAGAACCGGAGCATTTGCCTCTTTCCATGGTCCCTGCAACATATTCCTACAAGCCAAATAATTACACGGAGAATTGAAATAAGCAAAAACGAATGAATTAAACATAACAAAACACCAAAGGCGCACATATCATATAAAAACAAAGAAGTAAGAGAGTTTTTAATGGATTAACTGCAGAAACTAGAGCACTCAGCACAACCCGAATTCACATACATCATTCAACCAAGACTATTTTGTGCAATGGATTAAAATGAGAGCCAGTTTGGTACCTGAAGTAAGAGCTCCGGGAGAGTATGAGGCGGTGGAGGTGGTAGGTAGACCCCATGGCTTGAACGACAATGTCGGAGAATGCGCCACTGTTGAATCCCTCCAGTTGGATGTGATCACATAGGGAAGTAAGGTTGCAATCCAGCGCGGGAACCTCACTGCTGCTCTCGTCGTTATCGGAGATTTGCATCTGCGATTGGGATAGCGGAGCTGCCTGTCTCGCCGCCGTCAATTCCACCGGACTCGGACCCCCTCCGCCGCCGTACGCCCTGTGATGGTGATGCTGCCTGTTCGGGTATGGATTTCGTTCCATTCTTCGGTGATGGGAAGCAATTTCCGACCGTAAAGGGCTCCAATTTAGACGTCCTGAGGGTTGATCGACGCCATTTCTCGATGCTTTTGCAGATTATTGCTGAAAATTTGATGCAAAAAAAAAAGGAGAGAAAGGTGAAACACGACGGAACGAGGTCGGGGAACACAGAAACCGGAAGGGCCGAACCTGTAGGGTGGTCTGGACCGACTACTGATCCGGTCTATGAACCGGTTGTGGTTCTCTTCTTTTTTTTGAAAACTAGATTATATTAGATTAACAATAAAGTTTTCCGACAAAATAATAATAATAATAATAAAGTTTGGACGTACATCAACCCACACACCCATGCTCTGAGAAGAATATGAGGCTCGCGCTAATACATGTACAACCTCATTAGCAAAATGAACTGCAAGTTTCCATCAATAGGCACGTTGACTTTTACAATGATCAATGATAGAATCAAAATAAGCTTAATCAGTACCTGATTATTCAAAGCCACCTCCACATGCATGCAATCAATCTCTAAAATGACTTTCTCTTAATGCATGAACTTTATCCACCTTAAAGCCTCTTTCATATCAACTGATTTTGCCTCTCCCGCTCAAAGCTTCCTCTAAGACATTTATTTTTTCCTGCAATAAAGTAAATGTCATAATCTCTGGCAAGTTCTACTGACTGTATTAATCTTTGTATTATCTGTTAGGGGTTTTTCTCAGATGTAGTTGTATCTATCACTTGCTCGCCTTTCTGGTTTTGTGCCAATCACTCTCCACCATTCTTCAAACTGCGGCATTGCTTTCATCCATGTTTTATATGTGAGTGACTTTAATTTTGATATCAGTGTATTAAAATAGGTACATATCTATTAAAGACATGTTTGGTGAAAAAAATATAAATTTTGATATCTAGAGCATGAAGTTTTTAAATTTAATGTTAGGTAAACATAAAAAATATTTTCACACCCATAATATAAGTTATCAAATTAGTACTCGTATTTTATAGTATTTAGATCATCACTAATTAATCATTTCTCGTTATTTTTCTCTTATAAGCCACAAGATCTACATTTTGGTCATATAAAAATAAATTTAAAAATAATGGACCTTCTCTCTCAAGGGGAATATTATTCTCTCATGCTCTTTTTCTCATCTATTTCTTCCTCTTTCTAATCATCCTTCATCTCTCTACCCCTCTACACCATCCTATAATCTCATGCTTTCCTCCCCATTAGTGATTTCCGTATAGTCTAACAAGCAAACTTATTAAATCACTTTTTTGCCCCCCTTCCTTCAATTTATTAATACTATGCTAATGGCAATACTGTCTTTTTTTTGTTTTATCATACTCCTTCCGTCCCCAATTTAATTACAAATTGGGGTTTACGAGGAGAAATATCCCACTTTTTGAAATTATTTTATTTACAAATTGATATATCGATAAGAAATAAAAATTACATACTCCGGTATTAAAAAACGTCAAAAGTTTTAAGTTAGTTTTTGCAAAAAAGAAATATTCACATAATAATCCATAAAAAATACGGAGTATAAGAAAATCTATATTTTCAAGTTAATTTTCAGTATCTCAGGGCTCTTCTACTTTTTACCTAAAAATTCAAATTCAAAACTTACCGTTGGACCAACGGATTTCCCCCATTTCTGCCGGACTGACTACAAGAGTTCCCATCTCCCCCATAGATTCCCAACTTCTCAGTCTTCAAGCTTTAATCCCTCCCAATCCTCTTGCGGAAGGGGACGAAGGATTTCAGTCTCTGAAGAAATTCAAATCGCAATGGCACTGAGACCATTGGATAATGCTCTCCCGGTAATCCCTGAGAGGCCCAAAAAGCTGGCCAAAATCGCAACCCTAACCAAGAACCCTAATCAGAAGATTCAGAACCAGACTGATTTCTCAGGTCTGAACGATGAAAATAAGCCCCCTCTGCCAGAAGCTGCTGTCGATTATCTTCCTTCGGATAAACTCGAAGCTCTTGCCGATCCGGATCTCAAAATCCAGGTTAGATTCATTCTGCTACGCAACCTTTAATGAAAAAATGGGTTTATGGATTTTTGTATATGAAATGAAGAATGATGTTGAATCTTAGGATCTCGTGCTAGGGTTGGATTCGAAGGACTGGTTGAAGGTGTGTGAATCGCTGAATGATTTTAGGAGATTCGCTCTGTTTCATTCTACTCTATTGGAGCCAATCTTGTAAGCAATCTGTTTCCATGTTCCTCTTTTCATGTTTGGATATGAAACAAACCGCCCGCTGGTTCTTGAATTCCTTCTTAAGTAGATGTAATTTGAATCCAAAGAATTGAAATCCAGAAAGTCATTTCAGTTTCTTCAATCCCAACACTATATCCAAAGGAAATGAGGTATGTTAACTTGTATGGATGAACATATTTACATAGGGAAAATGTACTCTTGGTGATGGTGAAGGCAATGAAGAATCCAAGAAGTGCTCTTTGCAAGACATCAATCATGGCTTCATCTGATATCTTCAAGGCTTTCGGCGACAAGTTGCTGATCGAATCCGAAATATCTGATGCATTTGATCAAGTGTATCTGATGATCAAATCTCACCTGATGAAAATGAATTTTAACTAGTTGATATAATCATGATTCTGATTTTTTTTTCTTTCTGTGGGTATGTGATTTTACAGCTGCTGCAGCTACTGTTGAAAGCATCTCAAGATAAGAAATTTGTGTGTGAAGAAGCAGACAGGGCGCTCAAGGAAATGGTGGGGTCCATGACTCCTCTCCTCCTTCTCAAAAGGCTCCAATCCTATGTGAAGCATTCCAACCCCAGGGTCAGAGCAAAAGCTGCAATCTCAATCTCAGAGTGTTTCTCCATTATGGTATCCATTTCTTTCTCACTTAGAGTTTAATTAGTTCTTAAATGCTTGACAAATTACCACAAACCATCCGAAAATGGCAGGGAAATAAAATTAGAGTTCAAACAAAAGATATTTGCTTAAAAAACTCATTTTATTTTAGATGCTTGCTCCACAAATTTAATTTATATATTTGCCCAACAAATTCATTTAAGGTACTATTTGCTCTGTAAATATAGTTAAAATATTTTATTGGGAAATTTAGTTTAGGTATTTGCTCATTAATTTTTTAACTATTCGATTGAACTCATTTATTCAGCTAATACAATTATATACAGATTATGAATCATGTTTTTAAGGAATCAATCATGTTTTGCGTTTCTTTGTATTTTCCTAGTTAAGACCAAATTAGAATCAAATACCTCTCCTTAGCATTTTTCACATTTCGTAGTGTTTTTCCGGGACCCAAACAGTCCTTAAATGTGGTTTGATGTGTGTGTGTGTGTGTGTGTGAGTATAGGAGCCAGAAGGGATGAAGGAATTCGGGCTAGTTCCATCGATTCAGACTGCAGTGGATTTGCTGAATGACAGGCTTCCAGAGGCGAGAGAATCAGCACGGAAAATTACTGTTTGTTTGTACAAAGCAGTGACGGCTAAAGAAGAGCAGAAACAGGAGGCCTGGCAAAGCTTTTGCGACTCTAACCTGTCTGCAATTCATGCACAGTCCATGGTGAAACTTGTTTCTTCACAGTGAAGAAACCAGAAGAAGCAGCAGCAGTTCTTTTTTTCATGCACTAGTGTAGTTTGGTTTAACACTTGTCTGAAATCAAGTATAGATTTTGAATATCTCAAACTCACATCTTGGTTTGGTTTTCACTTTTCAGAAATGGCCATCATAACACATTCCTAAAATCACATCAAACCCATATCCACAAACTTTTTTGTGTTTGAATGAAATGAAGCCTCCTTGGTTTTACATTCTTAATTCCAAACTCATATATGAATCTAAACCAATCTGGATTGAGAGAGTTTATATACAGCTGCATATCAGCAGTTTGAGGTATGGGTCACAGGAGGCAGACTACAGTTCAATAAAGCACAGTAGCGCCTCAGAGTCATATTATGACACTCGAAACGGATGTCAAAGGGACCGCAGTGGATATAACATCTAATTATCAATATTACAAAAAAGACCCTCTTTTGTATGACAATGGAAAGCAATAAAATGTGCATCCATAAATTCACGAATACAACTCAAATCACATTCCTTCCACCATCACAACCACCAAGTTCAAATGAACTAGAGATCATTGTAAACAGACAAACTTATGAAATTGAATGTCTAGAATCTGTCAAAATTTCATTGTGTGCCAAAAGGTTTTTCGGAACTCAATGCCCACTACCAAAACCAAACAAATTTTTGAACTAGCGCCGAATCTTCTTCTTAAAAGTGGCGATTATCATCTACAACTCCATTGGCATTTCAAGTTTGTCCAATCAGCGCTCGCAGGGCCATCTCCACATCACCAAGTGGTTGGCCTGCATAAAGCTTCAGTTGTCCCTTCCTCACAACAATCACATTTTCCATACCCGATTTCACTCCCCGTTCCTGAAAACAAAAATCACATTGATTGGGTGTCACAAATTACAAAAGAAGGGCACAACCGTCCTGAAATCGGACAGTTGAGATAAGTGACCTCAACAGTCCAATTTCTACACTTTTTCGAAGTAGAAATGTAAACTTTTATGAGTTTGGGATTCTCACGTCGATAGATACTATAACGATTTCTGGGCTGAAGTCTTCCAAATCATTATAGGACTGCAATAAATAGCAGAAGTTGGTAGCATCAACATGATCTTCAAAAGCCACAATATAGGACGAATCACCAGAGCTGCTTTTTATGGAGAAGAATTGTTCTTGCGGTCTTTCACCATTGAGATCTCCATGCATATGTACAACCTGCAACAAAATGAATATCAAGGCATATTAAGGTGCATACATTATAGGATTAACTTCCTATACAATCCCTCAAATATACACCGTTATTCAATTTGGTCACGACTATGAAATTCGGATCCACCTTAATCATCAAACGTATGTAGACTCAATTTAAGACTCACATTCATTATCAAATATGTGATTTGGGTGCATTTTTGTCATCAATATCCCGAGGTTAAACTCGTCTGTTCTCAAACACAACTTCATAACTGAATTCAGAACTGTCATACACATGCCATCTGAACTAACAGAACAATCCTTCTGCCACTCCTGACCATTGGCCTCCCAATGGACAGCTCAACTTGACCTTGATCTGTCTCTGATAAATCTCTTTAAAACTTTAAGATCTTAATTCTTGAATCAAGAAGTGTAGCTTCATGATATCAAATTGGTTCCTCAAGATTTCGAATTCATTCATATCAAAACTTACGTGCATATGGCATGTATGAGTATAGGACAAAAAGGATGCCCCAATACTGGCTGCTTCAAATGTAAAACAGACATTAAAACCAAAAAAAAACTTTTCTCAGTATTTTCTCCCATCCCTAGCATTTTCCAGGATCCAAAGTACCCTAAAACAGATTTGAACCACATAGACCATGCATATTCTATTCAACTATCCATGTAGTACAAAATAACAGAAGTCAAAGGGCTAAGAAGGAAAGAAGCCACGAGAAAGAAGGGAAGAAACTATAAACTAGAAAGCAGGTAGTGGATCATATTACATACAAGGATGTAAGGGAGACTCAACCACCAGAAGTCAGTTACTTTTTCAGATTTCGTACCCCTGGATTTCTTGCCCGACCGTCTCTCGATCGCTTTCCCTCTTTTTGCATTGAGATTTGTTTTTGACCTTTTCGTTTTGTTGGATATCACAGTGGTCCCTGTCATGCCTCCATCATGAAGAAGACATATTAGAAAGAGAAGAAGTAAAAGCATTCAGCTTGAGCACGGCTCACTTCATTTCAGGTAACCTTTGAGCACTGCTTTTTGTTTTACTAATTTTTTTCTATCTGTTGGTCATAAACTACAGAATAAGTGAATAACGATCTGTTTAGCTAAATAATGCATATGAGTTTCTATTTGATTTTTCATCTTCACCCCTAAATGTAAGAATACATCAACAACACACCCACTAAAATCCCACAAAAAGTAGGGCTTGTGGAAGGTATAAAATGCAAGAATAGATTAATGTATTTGGACCCTCCTCTCCAACATCCCCGCGACCAAATAAGAGCTAAGAATTTCAAAAATAGTATCACTTCCCATTGTCATTGTAAAGTATAACTAGCGAAACAGGAGCGTTACCGGTTTCATGTTCAGAATTTGCAACATCTAGAGTCACTCCTGAATTCTCATCCCATTCTTCCAATGAAGCCTTTCCTTCACCAATAGAAGCATCACCTTTTTCTTGTTCTTCCTCATCAGGTTTAGACACACCCGTAAAACCCTTAGGTCTACGACTTGGTTCACCTGAAAAATCCCTAAACCTATGCTTTTTCTTAAACAACATTGCAGCATTCAAATCATTCTTTACGCTATTTCTTCTCGGGTTATCGTCCAACGGTTCTGAAAGCTTCTCACTACTCCTCTTTAAAGGCTTATGCAGCATGAGTAATCTATTCTCCACCTCCTTCCCAATTGGATTACTAGCAAAGCTATCTTCATCTTCATCTTCACCCTCACTTTCACTGCTCTCAGCAGCCCCAAGCTTTTCCTTTGCCCTAGCCTCCCTAGCCATGGCCTGAATTTCCTCAATCTTCTTCTTGATCCCACCATTTCCATTTCCATTCAAGAAAGTTTCCAAATTTGAGGTATCATTACTGTTACCAACAACACCCATTTTTGACACTTCGTCTTCCCCACTGTTTTCTCCTTCTTCGCTGCCAAAAAGAGCAGGCCAGGATATCCAAGCAACAATAACCACTCCTAACCACAAAAGAAAGTTAAAGGCGGGCGCTTTACCATGGTTTACAGCTATGCTAGGTTCAGGAACTTGGGAGACTTGAAATTCTCGGAGATTATCAGAAATTTCTTGGATTTCCGACTCATTAGGATCTTCGCCGGCGACACCATCGGAATGGAATGCCCGGAATTCCTCCGGAGGGGATTCAGATGGGGTTACTGGGTTTGTGGGGGGCGATGAGGATTCAATGGGAGCGGGAGGGTTTTTGAGAATCTTGGGACGCAGATGACTAATTCTCTTTGATGGCTTTCTCTTGTCTAGGGGAGCAAATGAAGACTTCGTGGAGAGATGCTTTCTTGGGATGGGTTTGAAAGGAAGGAGAAGAGAAGCAGTGGCGCGCATAGCTGCTGGGCGCCGGGCAATGTGACATGAAGATGGTCTTCCTCTTTGTGTTTTGTTGGAGACAAAGGATGGCGATGGCCGGAATAGATTTCCTTTAACTTTGGTTTGAGTATGCTTTTAATTTTTTTTAGATAGAGTGAATTATCAAAATTGAATTCTTTCCTTAATATTAAGAGATTCATTTTGAAAACATACTTTTGAAATATATTACTCCTATATTTCTTCCGTTTTAAAATTATATTCTCTGTTTGACTTTAGTCAAATGTTTTTAACTTTGATCGTATATTACGGAAAAAATACATTAAATTTTCATATAAATTTCTTATCTACAGATTAATTTTGAAATATAATTTTGAAATATATTATTTTTATGATATATATTTATATAAAAATAGAGATATTGATAGTCAAATTATCGCATAGGAGATCGTAAAAAATCAAATACGAAGTTAATAGATCTAAATTATATAAAAGATCATGTTGGTAATTATTATTTATTGAAGATTAATTTAAAACAAAAACAAAGAGAGAAGTCTTTGGCTTTGTTGTTCAAGATATAGTGAAAAAGTCTACAAAGAATACTTAAGGGCTGTTTGACAACTTCTGAATGGGTAAGTGCTGAACCAGTAAGAGGTCTGAACCATTAAGTGCTGAACCAGTAAGGGGTCTGAACTATTAAGAGCTAGTATATTGCTTAACTATTCAGAGGCAAATGTCTGATCAATTCAGATAAGAGGTTTTAACCATTCAGACTCTGTATAATACTTAATCATTCAGAGGCAAATCTCTTAACCATTCAGACATCTGAACCATTAAGAGGCTGAAACAAACAGTCTGAACCATTAAGTGCTGAACCATTCAGACATCTGAATCATTAAGAGGCTGAAACAAACAGCCCCTTACTCTAAAGATTGGTAATTTTTGGAGGACAAATATATACTCCTATATGGAAATGTAAAAAATTTCAAAATATGAATGACTTTATAAAATCAATATCTTTATTATTATTTTGAAAAACTCAATGTTTCTATTCATTTTTAAAAAATATAATTGAATACCTTTATATTCAAGAGAATTTATAATGACTTTTTAAAATTCTAATTAAATACACATAGCTTTCTATGAAATATAAAAAGTTAAATTCAATGCACCTAAACTTTTAAATTTAACAGAATTCTATTAAAATGAACAAAAATGTACATATAATACGCCCGAAAAATATTTTTATCATATTATTTACTTCGTACATAACTATGAATACAATATGAAAATATGAATCAAGTACATGCATAAAAATCAATGAATTTAATGTAACAAAGTATTTTAAAAGTTTTAAAAATGGATGATATATTTGGAGAGACAATAGAAAAATGGAATGCTAAATACTTTTGAGGAATTAAAATAAAATTTTGTTTCTCTAATCCGCAATTGGGCACAAGGCCGAAGATAGTTGAGCGCAGCTGATCCCATCGTCTTCTTCTTCTTCTTCTTCTTCTTCTTCTTCTTCTCTCGATTGAGGTAATGATTTCCTTCAAATCGATCTCCAAAAGTCAACTGTCCGCTTTCATTTGGAATGGATCTCCTCAATTGAGGGCATATCCTAGATCTTCGCTCCCTGTTTTGAAGTTGTACGGAACAAAACCCGGAGATGAATCCCTAGGCCCAGCGAAGAACACAGATTCGTTCGTAGTCTCATATCTCGTAGACAGATTTGGGGTTACCCCCGAAAAGGCAATCACAGTTTCCAATTACGTGAAGTTTGAAACTGCAGATATACCGGACTCTGTGCTCTCGTTCTTGAAAATCCATGGGTTCACAGAAACCCAGGTCTCAAGGGTTGTTCAGAAGACGCCTAGGATCCTTTCGTCCAGGCCGCAGAAGACCCTTTTGCCCAAGATTGAATTTTTCAAGTCTCTAGGGTTCACAGTGGAGGAGTACACTGCTGTGCTGTGTAGGGACCCTACTATTTTCATGAGAAGCTTGGAGAAACAGCTCTTGCCAACAATGGATTTCTTCAAACAGTTCCTTTCTTCTCCAGATTACCTTAAAGGCCTCTTGAAGCGCGGCGCCTGGATTTTTTCGGCGCCCACGAAGGCTAGAATGGAATGTAACATTCAACTCCTGAGGGAAATGGAAGTTCACGAATCAGTGATTCTGCGCTACCTTCGTCGCCACCCCAGGCTGTTCACCAAAGATAAGGATGATTTCATACAGACAATGGAGGAAATCAAGGGGTGGGGGTTCGACCCGACCAGAAAATCGTTTTTGGCTGCAGTTCATGTGATGTGTTCCATGAGTAAATCAACATGGGATAAGAAGATAAAAGTCTACAAGAAGTGGGGGTTTTCAGAGGACCAGGTTCTTGATGCCTTTGTGAGGAGCCCATGGGTTATGGCGTGCTCTGAAGAAAAGATTCTAAAGGGGATGGATTTTTGCGTGAACAAAATGGGTTTGAAATCTTCTGATGTGCTGAGAAACCCGGTGGTTTTATTACTTAGTTTGGAGAAGAGGATCATTCCTAGACATCTTGTTTATCAAACGTTGGTTGCCGAGGGTTTGTTAAAGAAGGACTCAAAGCTTCTCATTAGGATGCTGCTCCCACCTGAAGAAAGGTTTCTGGTAAAGTTTGTAAAAAGCTATGAAGACAAAGTTCCCAACCTACAGAAGCAATATAAGGCAGCACAAGCAATGCACTGATTGATCTTCAGGTTTGCTCTAATTTGCTTAATCACTGAAGATGGAAATCATGCAATTTTCAAGTCTTATTCTGAAGTCGTAATGCCATTAAGCTGCAAAACTTTTACGAAATAGGCGTAATAGGCACCCAAGAGATCATCTACTTGTAAAGCCCACAAAGGAGCTCAACTCAGCTGATCAAACCGACACCCATAGAACATTCGTCATTGCGATGGACATAAGTCACATAACAATTGTTGTTACGTAATTGAATGGCACTTTGATACCTTTGACATTTCGATATGTTGAAAGCCAATTTAAATATGCACTCGTATTATAAAATGTCTTGAATTTAGGACTATCCTTTCGTCTTCTATAAATCGGAGAGGGTACAGTATATGCCTGTTCTTAATGGCTAACCATATACTCCCCTCGTCCCAAAATGAAGTTTACACTTTAGCTTCACGGAATTCAAGAAAAATGTTAAAAAGGGAAAGATTCTTGGTGAAAAGTGAAATGTGTTGGTTGGAATTTATTTAGAAAGTGAGAGATTTTAAGAGACATATTCATTTCCTAACAGAGAAAGTAGTGAAGCCTAAACTTCATTGGTACATTAAAAAAAAGAAATACTTCTTGATATTAGCAGACATGATAAGACAAGGAAAAACAATTTTTATGCAATTCTGTCTTCATATTCCCTCTTTTAGTACAATTGGATGTCCTGGTTTACTTTGGACATTTTGACTTTGCGTAGTTTAAGAAAAATGTTGAAAAAATAAATTTCTGTGGTTCGTGGTGATGCGTATAGCGCAACCATCACTTGAACTTTTTGCGACGCACATTCCACAAATCGCATAGCAAACTTTACTCTCACTCAAGGAGATTAAGGCATTGTTTGTAAACAATGTTTTCAATTAGCAGTAACGTTTTGGATAGTTTTTCTAATAATGCAAGATTAATTTTGAAAATGTTATAGTATAAACATTGTCATTGGAATGATTTTTTTTTTTTTTTCAAAATATTGAAGTTCAATGTTATAGCTGTTAGTAAATGGGCACTAAAGAAATTGTATGGGATGAGATTATGAGATTTTTTTTAAAGTCGTCATCTTCGATATAAATTATTCTAAAAATCATAACCCGTCTCGAGAAGAAAAGAGAAGAGAAATGCTAGTCACACAAATCATAAACTTGCAAAGTATGAACGAGAAGTGGAATAATACCACTTTGACATCTCATTCAATAGCCCTACATATATTTTTATTGTATTATATTAGATAATATTTACACAATATTAGTGTATATATATAAAATATACTACCTTCGTCCCGTTTTAAATCGCATGTTTTGACTTTTGGGCATATTTAAGGAAAAGAAAAAATAGAATTGTTTTTTTGAAATTGTCATTACTTTTTAGAAAGGGTGACTATGAATTCGAAGATAAGGTGAAGAAGGGTGACTTATTTTAGGGGTAGTTTAGGTATTTTATTTTTAAAAATTTACGATAACAACTAACAGGCAACTTATTTTGGGACGGAGAAAAAAGGCAAATAGGCAATTTAAATTGGGACAGAGGGAGTAGTACTTGATTTGAAAACTATTCTATTAAAATGAAAAACAAAATCATTTGACGTGATAAAGAATAAAATTTGCATTATTTAATTTGATAATATCAATGTTTGCTCTTACATAAATAAAACATTATTCTATTCAAATGAAAATTATTACGTTTGTTTAATTTGGAATTAAAAAGTAAATAAAAATTAAAAAAAATACTCTGTATTAAAAAGAAGATTACATTGACATGACAAAGTTAAAATTTATCTTTTTTAAAAAATAAAATATCCATTTCACAATCTTATAACTGAACTAGTATTTTTAGTCAACTAGCCGTTTGTTTATTTCTTGAGTAAAGAATTAGCTGCTTATTAAAAAAAATTAAAAAAATTTATTGTTAAGAGTTTAACTTAGAACAGGTTAGTGGGAGTTGCCATAAAAACCAATACAGCATTAAAGGACTGTCCCTCCAAAGTGGGACTGAACCCATTTTCTTGTTCCTCTCAAATGCTATCAAGAGTCCCATGAGCTGATTAGCATGGCATGCATTAGACATGCCCTTAAGATTATAATAGGAACCTACCACGATTGTCCCACAAACTACAATCACAGATTATTTATACCGGCTAGGTTCTAGAGCCACTCAAAAAGAGTGGCTACGGAAGCCACTAACCCAATTGTGACACCTACGGTGCTCCGTTTACAAAATTGATAGTTCCTACTCCCTCTAACCCCCCGGTAAACCCCCCACCCGGTCTCGATCCCAACTCATCCCTCTAACCACGTCAATTGCGGGGTGCAAGTTTAGTTGACTTTGGAGTCAAAATTTTTGACTTTAAAGTCAATTATACTTACGGGATGCAATTGACGTAGGTGAGGAGATGATTTGGGGTCGGGACTTGACGNGGGGGGGGGGGGGGGGGGGTAGGGGGAGTAAGAATCATCAATTTTATGAACGGAGCTTCGTAGGGGGGCAGTGGCTTCCGTGGCCACTGAAACCCAGTGGCTTCCGTGGCCACTGAAACCCAGTGGCCACCGAACCGGGCCGTATTTATAGATGCATAAACGATAATCGTCTGTCCACAGACAATTATTATACCGTATGTAAAAATTATCTGTGACTGTCATTCGTGGAGACACCGGTGATAGATTTTTAGCAATATTTTTATTGTAACATGGTCTTTGAATAATTACTCCTATTGGTGAACATGATACGGTATGATACAGTATTTAACTCGTACTAATGTCGTCTTGAGTATTTCAGTTTGGTATGAAATTTTACGTCATATCGCTCTCGGTCCGAAGTATCAGTTCGAGATGATTCAGTGTTAGTTTCGATACAAATCAATATGAATATATACATATCTAGTTTTCATTTTAAAATATAACAAAATTAAACTTTTTTTTGAAAAATCGTAAGTATATTTAAATAAAGAAAAATTAAAAATTAAAAAAGAACAATTAAATGCAAGAAATGCTTATTAAACAAATTTTATATTTCACAAAATAAAGAGAATAAATGATAACAAAATACTATTTTAAATGTTTGTTAATATTTTTATATTCATATACAAATAATTAAAATTCAAATTAAAGTATGATTTACACATAATGAAACTTAAACCAAATTTTCAAATTAAATGTATTATTTGATGAAGAAATATAAAGCGATCACTCCGTATTAGCATATATGCTCGGTTTGAGATTTTTGATATAGAAGGTTATATTACCTTCTAACATACCGGACCGATCGTTGAATTTAATCCATTTTAATTCTTTTATGGTATTTTGCCAGTTCAATACCTCTTATTTTAATTTTTTTGAGAATTTCGGGATCGCTAAATCCTAATTACTCCCATGGTCTCCATTGTGCCAAAAACGGCAGCTTTGTTGTGTCTCTGTCTCAAGCGCAAGCGTCCCCTCAAAAGTTAGGGTTTCATTTTAATGAATTCTTGATTGCTTTGGGCGTGCTGCCTCGCTTCAAGGCTCGGGTCCGGTATTTTTCATAATTATTCAAACAAAATTCAAGATTTCAGGTGACCCTTTTCTTCGATTTTGAATTGGTCGAACCAGTAGCTCAGATCAAATGCTCAATTTCGCCTGCAAGGCGATCACGCCTTTGAGGCTTAGGGCCAATAGATCTTCGCTAACTCTTATCCAGTTGTATGTAACCAAATCTGGGGATGAATCTTTAGAACGAGCGAAGAAGAAAAGCTCTTTTGTGGTTACTTATCTGGTGGATAAATGTGGGTTTCCTCCAGAAAGAGCTATTTCAACTTCTAAATATGTGACATTCAAAACCCCAGCTAAACCAGACTCAGTGCTTTCCTTCTTGAAAATCCATGGATTCACAGAAGCCCAGGTCTCCGAGTTAGTTCGAAAATGCCCTTCACTTCTGTTGTGTCGTCCTCAGAATACCCTTTTGCCCAAGATTGAATTTTTCAAGTCTTTAGGTTTCACAGTGGAAGACTACACCACTATGCTGTGTGGATCCCCTTCCATTTTCACCAGAAGCTTAGAGAATTCCCTTTCCCCAACAATAGATTTCCTTAAACCGTTTCTGTCTTCTCCAGGTAAACTAAAGGTTCCCCTGAAACGAAATCCCTGGATTTTATCCAGTGCAACCCGTTCTAAAATAAAAGAAAGCATTCAATGTCTGGCTGAAATGGGTGTGCCTGAATCAAGAATCGCGCACTATCTTCACCACCAGCCTAGGTTGTTCACCAGGGAGAAAGATGAGTTTGTAAAGGTTTTGGAGGAGGTCAAGGGAATGGGGTTTCGGCCATACAGGAAAACATTTCTGGTTGCAGTTCATGTGTTCTGTTCCATGAGTAAATTGACCTGGGAAAAGAAGATTTGTCTGTTTAAGAAGTGGGGGCTCACCGAGGATCAGATTCTTGATGGGTTTTTGAAGCATCCTTGGCTCATGGCGTCCTCCGAAGGAAAGGTTCAGCAAGGAATGGAATTTTTGGTCAACAAAATGGGGTTCAAACCTTCTGATATCTTGAAAACCCCTGTTATGCTTATGCTTAGTTTGGAGAAAAGGACCATTCCTAGATGTATTGTTTATCAAACACTGACAGGGGAGGGTTTGTTAGAAGAGGACCTTAAGTTACTTACTAGGATGTTGCTTGCGTCCGAAAAGAAGTTTGTTATCAAGTTTGTAAAGTGCTATGAGAATGAAGTTCCCGACTTGGTCAAGCTTTATTCTTTATCAGACTTGAAGCATCCAATCCATCTAGACCGACTAGACAACCACTGAGGTGAAGACAGGCTTCTTGAGGTTCCCCTTCAATTTGCTTCATAAATTTCAATCCATTAGACATTTGGAGCACCCAATTCATCTCATTTGGTACACATTAAATTCTCTCTTTTATTTTTTTCTACCGGTGTTAAAAATCCCATTGTCGCGATGGACGTGACAAATGTGAATAGTCATCATTGAGGCAGCGATCATAGATAACAAGCGCAATGCCTATTTTCTCATTCTTTTCTGTTTTCTTTAACATGTAACACTGCTTTTTTCAATCCAAAAGAACGTAAGTTGACTTGTGATATTCTAGCTATTCATGAAATCATGAAAACGATTATGCAACTATTAAGAAGGTTGAAGATCTAGGTTTCTTTGTTCCTTGCAGCCTCATGTTTCTTTACTTTCATATATAGTTCTGGGATGGATGTGTTTTTTTTCTTTTCAGAAAGGGATGGATTTGTTAAAATTTCTAGATATTCTTAGTCATTTTTTTGATTATTCTCCATTTTCCATACAATGAATCAAACAAAAATAGAGAGTTTTAAGATATCTAGCCAAACAACCAAAAGGAAAATGACTTTTCGAAAATAACTTATTTTCCAGAAATGATTTTCCACAAGTCACTTTCCTGGTTTCCAAATGGAGCCTAAAAGGATACAGAAGTTGACTAGAGTTATTTTCAGTTCAATGTATTAAGTAATGATACAAATATTTAAAATAAATTTATATATTAAAAACATATTCGAATGCTCTATAAAACAAGGATTCTTTTTGCATTATTTATTTTTGGACCTTTTCGTTTCAAACTTTTAAAAATGTATCATTAGTCCTTATACTTTTCGTAAAGTGTGTGCTTTCCTCTTGAATTTTCAAAAGTGCAACATTCATATTATACTTTTAGAGATGGTGCATGGTGAAACCTTAAATTTCTTTTGGTTGAACAATGTCTTTAACCAAACTTGAATAAAAAAATAACTTGGAGGACATAAATATTAATTGCATGCTTGTGAAAGTCAGAGAATCTATGTGGGTGATAGTTGAAGATTTGGTGAGTCATTGCCGAAATAGAATATATTTAGATAAATTTCTATCAAAATACTGCAATAAGAATCTTAATTTTTTTTTAAATTAAACTAAGAGTTCGCAGTCATGGTTTTATAATGTCATTGCCATATTCACAATATTGTTATCTTGTCAATGTTTTACAATCATCCGCCGTCAATAATTTCATTGTCGCTTTTCTTACAAGTGGTGATCTGAACTTATTGGATGATAGAAATAAGAAGTTCTTCTTTTTCTCGCGGATGAGACTAAGAAAAAATAAAATTTTCATACCAAAAAAAGATTGGTTACATTTTTTACGGAGTATGAATTTATAAATTGACTTTTTCTTTAAAAAAAACTCAATTAATTTACGGTGTTTATAAATCAAAGTTGATAATTACAGTGTTTATAAATCAAAGTTGATAAGGACTAGAATTTGCCGATTTTTACTCCTACGGTCCTACGATATTTCTTTAGCCGAAAACAGAAAAATCGGAGCTAAAGCTTAGGGTTTTAGCAAAACCGTTCTTTCTTTCTTTCCTGAACCCCAACCAAGAAGAAGATTATTGGGTTGCTTGCTCCATTGCTTCAAAGATCTCCATTTTCGCAGGTGACTCGTCTCTTCGACCTTGAATTGATCCACTCACTAATTTAAGTCAGATGTTCAATTTGGTTCGCAAGTCATTTCCGCATTTGAGGCTCTCTGCTCATAGATCTTCGGTCACTGTTATAAAGTTCTACGCCACAAAATCTGGAGATGAATCCTTAGGCCCATCGAAGAAGAAAGATTCGTTCATTGTTTCTTATCTCGTGGACAGACTTGGGTTTGCTCCAGAAAAGGCTCTTTCAGCTTCCAATTATCTGAAGTTTGAAACCCTAGATAAACCCGAATCTGTGATTTCGTTCTTGAAATCTAATGGATTCACAGACACCCAGATCTCAAAACTTGTCCGGAAGTGCCCTACAGTCATTTTGTCTAATCCCCAGAATACCCTTTTGCCCAAGATTGAATTTTTCAAGTCTTTAGGTTTCACAGAGGAAGATTATACTGTTATGCTCACTGGATCCCCGGGTATTTTCACTAGAGGCTTAGAAAATACCCTTTCCCCTACTGTGGATTTCTTCAAGCAGTTCCTTTCTTCTCCTGATACACTAAAAGTTGCTCTGAAGCGGAGTTCTTGGACGCTTTCCTCGCCAGCCAGGTCTGCGATGAAGGATAATGTTCAACTTCTGATGGAAATGGAAGTGCCCGAATCAAGGATCGCGCATTATCTTCGTCACCAGCCTAGGATGTTCGCCAAGGAAAAAGACAGGTTTAGAAAGATTCTTGATGAGGTCAAAGGGATGGGGTTTGATCCTTCAAAAAAAACATTTCTATCTGCAGTTCACGTGTCGTGTTCCATGAATAAATCAACTTGGAAAAAGAAGATCAGTGTTTACAAGAAGTGGGGACTTTCGGAGGATGAGATTCTTCAAGTGTTTGGGAAGAACCCTTGGATTATGGCATGCTCTGAAGAGAAGATTGTGCTGGCAATGGACTTTCTAGTCAATAGAATGGGCTTCAAAGCTTCTGATATCTTGAGGACTCCAATGCTGATTTTTCTTAGCTTGAAGAAGAGAATCATTCCTAGATGTGTTGTTTATCAAGCTTTGGTAGCTGAGGGTTTGTTAAGAAATGACCTAAAGCTACTTACTAGGATGTTAATCGTTCAAGAAAAGATTTTTCAAAAGAAGTATCTGAAATGCTATGAGAAAAACGTTCCTGACCTTTTGAAGCTATATCAGGAAGCTACATCGCATGGATTCTTCAAACAAGTGTCGACCCAGTTCCCTGCCCTGTCCCTATAATCCAAGGGTAATTAGTGCTTGAGTGGTTAAAAAGTTGTTGGCCTAAGCACATTACTGCATCTTTTTTTAGGGTTCATGAAATTACGTTCTATTGAAGAGCAGACCGGATGTGAATCATGCTGTTTTCAAGAAGCCAAACCAATCTGCCACTCCTATCCCCATTCCCATTTTCAAGGTATTTTGATAGTGTTTACGTGTGTAGAAACTCATAGGTTCTATGGCCACTCACTTTGTTGGCCATGGAGGACACAACCCCTCTACATATTTCGTTTGCAAAATTGATAATTCCTACTCCCCTAACCCCCACCCAATCCCAACCCCAACCCATCCCTCCCCCACCCACGTCAGTTGTGGGGTGCAAGTTTGCTTGACTTCGTGGTAAAGAATTTTGGCCTCAAAGTCAACCAAACTTGCACCTCGCAATTGATGTGGATGAGGATGGATTGGAGTCAGGACTGGGTGGGGGGTTTACCAGAGGGGGTAAGAACAATCAATTTTACAAACGGAGCACCATAGGTGTCCCAATTGAGTCAATGTCCTTCGTTGCCACTCAAAGTGAGTGACCATAAAACCAGGCCGCAGTAGAAAGCGTTCTTTGTAGGTATTCGAGAGATTTTATACTCTAACACGCCCTTTTACATGCAGGGGAGGCATGTTTTTTGCTCCATTCTTGAATGTAAGCATTAAGTTTTCTTGAAATCGGGTGGCGGTCAATCTTAACTGATATCCTTTAGGTCAACAAGATCCAAATACCATGTAAATGAGCCAATTCAATCAAAAGTTCAAGACTGTGATTGTAAGCTTGGGAAAAGTTTTATACTCTAATGTACTTAAATGTATGTTGGCTACTTGACTTTTAGTTCTTAATTAATATTCGTGTTATTGATTGAGTTGGTGGAAAACCATGCTTGATAAGGACCTACGTAATTTTTATAACTACGTAATTTTTCCCCCCTCTCTCTTTAAGTATATCTATTTTGTTCCTTTAGAATAAAGTTTGGGTAGTGAACCCTCAAAAAGAAAAGGTTTGGGTGGTGAAATGTTTAGAGACGGCCATGAAGTTGACAAGAATACCCTTAGAGCCCGTTTGTGAGTTTTGAAGGTGTTCTAAAATTTGGAAAACATGATATGTAAGTTTTGAAACGAAAATGCAGGAAAAGATTTGAAATGGTGGCTGTTAGTGAAAGACACAAGGTGACTGGTGGGGGGAGGGGGGGTGGGTGGGATGGCGGCGTGGAAGTTGTTTTATTCCACATGAGATTGTGGTTTAGAGCTTTTTCTCTGTAACTTATTCTTATTCAATTTGATCAAATCAAAAGTAGTTTTAAATATAATTACAATCAAATTAAATCAAATAAGATTTTAATAAAATCACATTAGATTCAATAAGTTCTTACCTGGAGAAAAGCTCCCTTTGAAAATCAAAGCTAATGAGAATACTTGGAGTACTTTTAAGAGATTGGGGGTGCAATTTCGTGGATAACATGTAAATTATTAATCCAAGGGTCAATACAATGTATACTTACAGAATATACATACAATGAATCGGGGCATACTCCTATAACACAAAGGCAAGTCATGCCCAACAACCAAAAAGTCAAAGCAAATGAAAATATAAGGGATAAGGCACAAGGAAGAATCCAAGTACTATCCAGTTTCGACAAGCTACTACCCTCAAAGGGCGTAAAAGAACAGCCGCCAAGGACCCAGTACACGACAAGGCTCGTCCAGTCATCAATCATGTGTCCGTGGTCGTGAGAGATTTAATGATCATCAAAACACCCAAACGAAGGTTCACGAGCGCTATTGCCTGCCACTGCAACAACATATATACCTCAGCAATGCTAAAGATCTTCAAAGTCACCCTCAAGTTTGAATGCTGTACCCTTGATCCGAGAAGACACCATTGCCAAAGCGCCAGAGAAACCTCGGCCATACAGTGACGGCATGGCGTTTGGTCCAAGTATCCACAGTCAGACCGGGCTTGAGATAAAAAAAAAAAAGCTCTTACAAAATTGGGTGTGTGGGCAGGGGACAGAACAGCCCTGAATTATGTCCTCATCCTCCCCATGGGGTCACAAGGTAACCCAAGGTGGTGAAGACCAGAACCACTCCATAAGCCCACCGCAATATGCAACTGCCGAGATCATCTTTCCATGGGGGTGCAATTTCATTGACATAGTAGAGGTTGCATTTTCCGCAAATGACAATTTTTAGGCTTCCCATAAATCTTTTAAATTGATTTTCATGGAATCTAATTTCAACTTTTTTTTTTTATCTCACACCATTTCTAATCTTAACTTTCAAATCTTTTACTCCCTCCGTCCCAAAAAGAATGGGACGGTTTGACTTTTTGGGAAATTAAGGGAGGGATATTTTGGTATTGACTTTCCAAAAATACCCTTGATGTGATGGGTAAAGTAGGATGTGATGAGTAGATTATTAGGAAAAAGGTATGATGTGATAGGTAGGGTATGAAAAAGTAAGGGGTAAAAATGGTTTTTTAATAGAAATGTAACGAACTTTACAGAACGCAGTTTTTTCTAAATGAAAAGATCCACTCTTTTCATCCTAGTGTTTTTGTCCACTTTTCTTTTTTGGTTGTCGCACTGTCTCTGTCCCCCTTCTACTTATGGTAGTAATTGAGTTCCAAATGACCAATTTGGCCCTAATCCAAAACCATTTACACAATGATGTTGGCCACACCATATTCATGTATACTCTAATCGATGTTACCATTGATGTCTCCGCTAAAGATATACCGAAGTACCCGACATATTCGTGGCCATCACTTCTCCATCGGCATCGCTTCTCCATCGCCGCTGTCACTTCTCTATTGCCGCCTTCTCGCCGCCGTTGCTTCTAAACCATTATCGTCGTTACTTCTAAACCATTGTCACCGTCGATCGCAAATGTAGCCTCTCGATCACAGCTATGGCTTCTCAAATGTCTCCTCCCTCATCCAGATATTTCTACTCGGCAGCAACTTAGGCTTTAAGGGCATTTTAGTACTCCCTCCGTCCCAATTTATAATGCCTGTTTCGGTTTACGATGTTTGACTGAAATTATTTTCAAATCATTTTATGTGACAAATGGTATAAATTAAAAAATAAAAATTACATATTAAAATACTACATCAAAAGATCTACAAAACTAGTAGTGACAATAGTACTTTATTTTATCAAATTGCTAACAAAAATAGAGAAAGAAAGTGAATATGGTTTGACTTTGTGAATAGTAAACAGACACTATAAATTGGGACGGAGGAAGTAACTTCCTTTGTTTATTCCCTTCTCCTTGGTATTGAGTCGAAATGAAAGTAGACATAAACAGCGGGACGGAGGAGTATTAATGAGTACAATTTAGGCCCCCACTTTATTTTGGCTCCCAAAATATTTGCTTTTTTCATTCAAATAGGTCTTTCAAAAACATAATAAGAAATTTATCAAAACAAAAAAGTCATAATGTCATGTGATAGATATTGGACCTGATAACCAATTAATAAGCTCAATAGCACAACCTTAACCTAAAAAAATTTTGGGGAGACAAAATTATTTTAATTGCGGAGAAATTAAGGAGTAATCACATTTTCCACCCTATTAACCTAATTCAATTAATTCATTAAATACTCCTAAATTTTGGAAAACCCCCAATTCACATTTAAATTTGTATGCATTTCTTCTTCTCTTTTTTCACAACAAATTTTCTTCTTTCTTTCTAATGGTGCACTTTTATTTTTAATTTAATTTGTATGAAAATTGAAGTAAATTTTTAAAATATAAATGTATATAAATACTCATTCCGTTCTAAATTAATCTTCCAATTAAGTTACCATTCACAAGTTAAAATTATATTACTACATTTTTAATATATTTCCAATGATCATTTGATGTAATAAAATAACTTTGTCACCATTTTTTGTAAAGCTTTTGATTTAATTTTTTAATATATAATTTTTATTTTTAAATTCTACGGAGGGAGCTGAGTAAAAGTAAATTCATGGGTTATTATGTAAATTTTTTTAATTGATTTTAACAAAACATCCTCGATATTAATGTCTTTGATTTTCTTCATGCTCTAGCTACAGGATTCTTCTTTGCCAATGTAGGGTCTTGTTTAACTATTTGTTACTCCCTCCGTTCCACTAAACCCTTCCCCTTTCGTTTTTTTTGAATTCCTTAAAACACTTCCATTTTATATTAAAACACCACTTTTACCCTTACTTTTTCATACCCTACCTATCACATCATACTTTTTTCCTAATAAACAAACTATCACATCTTACTTTTACCCATCACATCAGGGGCAAAATTGGAAAGTCAACCCAAATTACACTTTCCTTATTTTTGCCAAAAGTCAAAAGTGGAAGTGTTTAAAGGAACGGAGGGAGTATTAGCTTTGGTATTATGATGCAACATGAGACTAAGCTTTACAATGATTTTTAATTTTAGATATTTATGTGTTAGAAATATCAAAAAAATACTCCCTCCGTCCCGTAAAATATGGGAGTTTTGATTTTGAAAGGGAATTTAAGGGGAATGTATTTTGGTATTGAATTTCCAAAAATGTCCTTTGATGTGATGGGTAAAAGTATGATTTGATGGATAGATTATTAGTAAAAAGGTATGATGTGATAGGTAGGGTATAAAAAAGTAAGGGGTAAAAGTGACTTTTTAATAGAAATGAGAAGTGTTTTTTGGGACAGATAAAAAAAGAAAGGTGAAAGGTTTTCTGGGACGGAGGGAGTAATTTTTGTTAGGCCAAAAGAGCATTGCATAACTAGAATTATTGTTAGACTACATTATTGCCCTAAAATATTATATCACCATATATAAGACATTATCGTGTGCTATAATAATAATAGTAATAAATAATTATAATAATAAAATAAATCAATCAATTCATAATGGAAAATCACAGTGATAAATAAGAAATAAAATAATATACATATATATATATATATATACACACACACACACACATATATATATATATAATTAAATTAAAAAAATTATATAAGAAAATAAAAATATTAAAATGTAGGAGAAATGATAGGAATAGTAATAAAAAATTAAAATTAAAAAAAGAAAGAATAAAATAAAAAACACTGATAATAATTTTTTTAAAATAGATAAAAAAAAGTTTTAAAAATGAAAAATATAAATAAAAAATTAAAAGTAAAGCATTTCCTTTTCCTCCAAACCAAACAAGGTGAAGGGAATCCTTCCCTTCCCTTCCCATTCCCTCCCATCCATTCTTTTCCCTCCCCTCCTTTCCAACCAAACATACCCTAAAGTTGATCACTTATGCCAAGAAAAGAGATGGAAGCACTAAGTCAAAGACCTATTTGACTGGTTCCTCCCTTTTCGGTAGGAATTCCCTGTATAATTGGCATGGAATTAAGGATTTGATATCTTTTATATTTAAAAAAATATGGATTCAGAATTTTTGAGTAGTATTAGATTGCTTCCAAGGTTAATTGTGACCTTTTGTTAATCAAACTAAATTCCATTTCTTAATCTCACATTAATAATCGCATATTTAAAGTAAAATAATTTCGTCCAAACATTATATAAAAACACATAACACATGATACATTGATACTTACAAATTATATTAAATATCTTCACGTACAACATATACAAATTAAAACCAATGATACACGTATGGATACATGATTATCCAATGTTCTCATAAATATACATAGACATTATTAAAGAGTTAAGATAGAGTGTTTTAGATGGATATATACTCGCTTCCGCCGGCCGGCCGGACGGACGCCGGCGACATGATTAGTTCACGAGAAAATAGGCAAGCAAGGCGCCGGAGAAGATGAGTGTATCAAGCTGACGTCCCAACTTGGGATCGTTCCAGGGAAGAAGAGTGGAATGCGGCCCAGTACTTCCGCTCTTCTTCCCCTTATTCCCGCCTTTCGGATGAGCGCCAATGGCACCGGCACCGCCGCCGCCCTCACCCTCCCCACCGCCTCCGCCGCCAACCTCACCGTGCCCACCGCCTCCGCCGCCACTGTGACCACCTCCGCCGCCACCGTGACCGCCACCGCCACCACCGTTGGCGCCAAGTGCTTCAATCTTATTAACATACACGGCGGCAATGAGCAAAAGGATGAGTGTGGTGATGAGTTTTTTATTACGTGAAAAGCTTGCAGGGCTCTTCTTCATCATTTCTACACAAGAATAATTACTGTGGTAATTATTGAGAAAGAATATTATTTTTTAATTACAAGATTTTTTTTTACGTGCGGTAATTACAAGAAGAATATAATTAATTAACAATATTAATCAACGAGTGCCTGAACGTGGTTCTCCCCGCTACTTATATAAGCATGCAATCCTGGAATCCTGGGTTTTGAATTCCTCTATGTTAAGATACTTTTATTTTCCGAATGGTTCTAAGCATTTTTTATAATGAATACTAATTAAACTTTTATGGGTCCCTTCTGTTACTTTTTTTGGGGGGATTGAAGTGTTTCCACACTGCCATTTGTTACAAACGAAGTACTATATATATATATATATATATATATATATATATATATATATATATATATATATATATGTATATGTATGTATGTATGTATGTATATGTATATGTATGTGTATGTGTATGTGTATGTGTATGTATATGTGTGTGTGTGTATATATATATATGTGTGTGTGTGGGGGGCCTAATTGAAAATAGTGTTAGTGTTTTGAAAAAACTATATATCTACGGATTGTGTTTAACTTTTCAAAGTTAATCTGTACCATTAACATTTTATCTAAAATGCTTACGCTTATTGAAAATGTTATTTTACAGACGGAGCGAAGTTGTGATATCACGACACAAAATAGAACCATTCATTATCATCATATTCCTTGTCAAATACTCCCTCTGTCCCGCAAAAAAACTTTTCATTTTGACTTTTAAAGAATTTAAGGAAAGTATATTTTGGTATTGACTTTCTAAAAATGCTCTTTGATGTAATGGATAAAGTAGGATGTGATGAGTTGATTAATAGAGAAAAAGTATAATCAACTCATCGCATCCTACTTTATGCGATGAGTAGGTTAAATTATGTCATACGGAGTATTTTTTTATTATATAAAACATCATATTTTCCTACAACATTTTCATACATGAAATATTTTTTTAAAAAATAATATTACAATTATAATTATCAAACATAATTGTTGGGTTATGGAACCCGGGGGCCTAGGTAACTAGGCAGATGAGTATCGAACTAAGCACGAGCGCACAAGGTATGAGGGGTCAAGGGGATTGAGAGTAATAATGTGCTGGTAAGAGTATCACTTAGAACGTAAGTCCGGAGCGTGGAATGAGCTCCTCGTGTGGTGTGTGTCTAGAATGAGATTCCTCCCTCCCCTCTCCCTCTTCTAAGAAGAGGGGTATATATAATGGGAGAGTTAGGGCTAGGGTTTACATACAAAGACCAATGGGCCGGCCCAACTGGGCCGCCCTAAATAAGTAATTGATAAACGACTAACGGGCCGATCGCACAAACTGGACCTTCCCGACTAATACTATACAAAGACCGGATACCCCCTGTCCAGGGTATCCATCATGAGTCCCCCACTTCCCGAGCCGAGAGGAACTCGAGGTGAAGTGGAAGTAGAACAATAATCCACCATAGGACACCGTCTTCCTTGGTTTGGAGTACACCGCCAACTCGCTGTCCCGAGCACGGTGAAGTAAGGCAAGCAACACCATCAGTCTCTAATGTAATACCAACTCGCTGTCCAGAGTAAGGAAGGTTAAAGAATCCGCACCCTTGGATACGAGGTGCATTACCGACTCGCTGTCCGAAGCGGCAAAGTGGAAAAGTTTGCATCAATTTGTTCATTGTCCTGAAATGATCTGCTCTCGTACAAAGTACATCGTCGGTTTGCTGTTCAGAGTGCAACAATCACCATAAGAGTGGATGAATAAATTGTCATCCTCCCATAATCCCATCAATGTGTGACCCACTCCACGGGGGATGCCTCATTAAAAACTTGCCGAGGAAAAACCCCATGAGAATGGGAAAAAATCCTCGGTCAAGAAAAGAGTACATCTCGTCCCACAGAGTGGATAAAGAAAACATTGCTAGGGGGTGAGGTTTTCTGTGTGAATCTCAAAAGAGGTGATCTTCAAGTCCCCCGGACTCGTCGTCCGGAGTCGAGGGTTGTTCGACATAATGGATTGTCGGCGAGTGCATGCCGACTCGGACTACTGCGGTCTGATGCAAGGTCGGGATGTCGCTCGCCAACCTCTCCTGATGTGAGATGTAACAATTATGAGCCGAGCACCCGGAGTCCCCCACTCCCTAAGCCGAAGAAGAATTCCGAGGTGAAGGGGAGTAGTGTCCATGCTTGGCTCTGGTGGGAGTCTCTCTGGCCCCTTCACGAGATGGCCGAGGCCGAGGCCGAGCTTGAGTGGTTGAAGGCCGAGCTCAAGTGCCTGAAGGCCGAGCTCGAGTGCCTGAAGGCCGAGCTCGAGTGCCTGAAAGCCGAGCTCGAGTGTCCCACGAGATGGTCGAGGCCGAGCTTGAATGGTTGAAGGCCGAGCTCGAGTGCTTCACGAGATGGGGGCATGTGTGCCTCGTGAGGTGGCCGAGGCCGATCTTGGCCTGCTCATCTTTCTAACCTGCAAAATAAATTCAAAAAGAATACAAGGCGCTCGCGGGCTCAGGCAGACCGATCACCACGCGGCCGAGAAAAGTAAGTCAACGTATGAGTTGGGTCCAAAGTTTTGGATAAAAGATAGGCCCTATCAGCGAAGTGTGCCAATCGTGTAGTAGTCTGGTCTAGAACAAACCTTGATGTCATCCTTAGTGAGACCGGGGTCTTCAAATGAGAGCTACTTGGGTAAGTGAGATAGGCACAAATGATGCACCCCTCGCCTTAGATCCGAGAGCAAAATAGTTCACGTCGTGGAAGACGGATATATAGGAGTGCGTCGAGATGGACGGCTTACCTCGGCCTCGCGAATGGTATCGTCGCGGACGATTTGGAGTGCCTCGCGGAGAGGGCTTACCTCAGCCTCGTAGAAGAGGAAACAAAATCGCGTCATGGGAGACGGATGGGAGTGCGTCGCGGTGGACGGCTTACCTCGGCCTCGTGGAAGAGGAAAAGAGATCGCGTCGTGGAAGACGGATAGGAGTGCGTCGAGATGGACAGCTTACCTCGGCCTCGCGATAATATCGTCGCGGACGATCTTCAACACCTCGTAGAGAGGTTTTACCCGGCCTCGCTAAGGAATGACTAAATGAGTTGGATCTGAGCCATGCCCTGAGGCAGGTTGCTGGCCTGTGTGGGGTGTGAGATTAAGCTTTGCACTCGTCCCACATCAGGGCTTAAAGTGTTGAACACAAAGTGTAATACCATCGTCCAAGTGAGGTCCGATCACATGTGGTGGACAAGGTAATAGTAATAATAATGGAGTAAATAATAGGAATTACCATATTGATAATATGATAATAAATAATAATAAATATAATAATAATAATAAAATACGGAATAGTGAAAATGTGTGTAAGAAGACTTATCTTTTGGGATTTCTAGGACCCACATGTGGATAATTAGCCCACTTGCCCATCTTTTCTCCTTTACAGACTGGAAATAAGTGCATCCATCCCTCTTATGATGTGGAGTAGTGTAGGCTTTTTTCTTTCCCATATTGCTATAGCAAGAAAGTATAGGCTTCTTTCTTTTTTTATAATATTGCCGACAGATTGACAGGAGCAACAGTCTTGCGCATCAAAAGTCCCACGCATCCAGGAGGCTTGCGCACTTGTCGGATTGACCATTGAATCACGCTGGGGTCGACGTCTACAGGGTAGGCCTGCACACCGAGAGGCCATGACCGGAGGGATGGCGGTGGGTCGCTGCCGGCCGGGACTGGTGTGGTAGTCAGGCTTTAGATCCGAGCTTGCTCGTCTTCGGCTGCACCGGTCTGCTGTTGCGGTTGTTTGGTCAATGATCTGCCGTCGGAAGCGGTCGCCGGAAACTTGAACGAAGCAGGGAGCGGCTTGCAGGAATGGCCGCTGTAAAACCCAGAACTGCTGACCCGCCGCTGGTGGAAGGATTTCCGTCTGGGTCGGGTCGTAATTGGAGCACTGCTGGTCAGCGGAGCACTGTTGGCCGGCGAAGCTGGTATCGCCGACCGCAGGGACAGCGACGCCCTTGACCACCGTCAAATCTGGAGCTGTTACCAAATCCGAAGTTGCTGTTGTTGAACCTCGAAGATCTGTGCGCGGAATCAAGATCTGGCCGGCGATGAGTGGTGTCTCGAAGCCGGCGGTGGTCGGCCAATGACAGATCTAGTCGGCGATGGTGGGGAATCCAAGAACAGCGACCGAATCCCACCACAAAGATTTGGAAGGACCACTCTTGTTTGTTTTTTTTGTTTTTGGAGCACGCTTGATGTGTTCGACACTCTCAACGAGAGCACCAATGTTGGGTTATGGAACCCGGGGGCCTAGGTAACTAGGCAGATGAGTATCGAACTAAGCACGAGCGCACAAGGTATGAGGGGTCAAGGGGATTGAGAGTAATAATGTGCTGGTAAGAGTATCACTTAGAACGTAAGTCCGGAGCATGGAATGAGCTCCTCGTGTGGTGTGTGTGTAGGATGAGATTCCTCCCTCCCCTCTCCCTCTTCTAAGAAGAGGGGTATATATAATGGGAGAGTTAGGGCTAGGGTTTACATACAAAGACCAATGGGCCGGCCCAACAGGCTGGGCCGCCCTAAATAAGTAATTGATAAACGACTAACGGGCCGATCGCACAAACTGGACCTTCCCGACTAATACTATACAAAGACCGGATACCCCCTGTCCAGGGTATCCATCATGAGTCCCCCACTTCCTCGGCTGAGCGTAGCGAAGCCGAGGGAAGTAATCTAAGAGTTGGAGTTTTTGAATTTGAAAATTTAAAATCTCTGCCATGTGTAGGAGTCCCCCACTGCCCCATTCGAGTACTGACGAGGGGGGGGAGTGTCCCAACTGGCAAAATTTTGCACGTGTTCCCTCGATTCTGAGAAGTATGATTGTACTACTTGGGAGACGCAACGTCTCTGTACTGTTCCTTTGTCAACCGTTCGCGATGGTTCTTGATCGTGCGCCTGAAGAAGCGCCACGTCTCTTTGCAATTGTGCCTTTTCATTAAGTCGGGTCGGATCCCTCTAATGTATAAAATTGGGGATTCTCCCAATCTTCTCCACTTTCGCCATTTTTGCGTCGCAGCCTTGCCGTTGATCCTGTTCGCCGTCTCCATTCGCTTCAGTCGTCGTTGCCGCTTCCATTTGAAGGTTAGTCCCTCTTCTCCGTTCTCATGGCGTCTGCTGATTCCAATCCTTCCACCTCCGCTGTCGATTCAGCGGTGGTTTGCTTTGAGGAAATGTACCGTCAAGATCCCTCCCTCCGCCCCGACGGCTTGATGGGAGGAATTGACCATTTTAGGGTTCTGAATGCGTTGCCTCTCCGTACGTCCGTCACCGTGGCGTCGTCGTCTCAGGCGCCGCTCTCGAAGAAGAAAAAGAAGAAACCAGAAACAGTTCGAAGAAAGAACCCGAAGTCCTTACCCGTTACCGCACTGGAAACGGGTCCGATTACGAATACGGGTTGTCTTCTGTTGGATATTGATTTTGACGAGGCGCAACGCTTCGTGGGGGATAGCTACGTGGTGCGCTGACCGCACACAACTAACCATGTCTTCTCAGTGACTTGCCCCGATGCCGAGGTCGGGGTGCATGTGGCGTCCATGCGTTACGGCCTTCGCTTTCCTCCTCACGATCTAATAGTCCAATTTCTGAACTTCTACAATCTTCTGCCGGGCCAGCTCAGTCCCCACTCCTACTACTGTTTTTCAATCTTCCTGATCAAGTGTCACCAGAGGGGAGTCCCCTGGTCTTTGGATTTGTTCCGCTATATGTTCAAGATTTCCAAAGTTGGGGCTCTTGAAGGAAATTCGTATGCCATCGTTTCTTCCCAGGCCGATTGTGGCATGGCAGTCTTTCCCTCATCCCTGAAACTCTGGAAGGCCAAGTTTGTCTTCGTTTCTGGTTTTCCCGGGGAACGGCATCCCTTTCACGCCAGGTTTCCCGAATGTCATACATTCATTCGTCATCCTCGTCCTGCGGCCACTCCCGAGCTTCAGGCACATGCGCAAAAACTGTTGGAAGACTGTCGACCTAAACCGCCTCACGTGTACACGGTATGTACAGAGCAGAACTTAGCGGAGGTAGGGATCCTTATCTCCCTTGAGCGCCAATTCGAGTTGTCCGAGGCCGTGCTCGGGAGTCGCCCTAGGCGTGGGCTTGAGGAGAGTGCCCCGAGGTCAGAAGATACAGAGTCGGGGAATGACGAAAGGGAAGATGGCGGGGAGGCCAGAAACGATGAAGAATCATGGCGGCCATCCTGCTCCGAGGGGGTTGCTGGTACGAAGCCTTCCGGGGATTTGTCCCTCATATCAAGGGTTTTTTTTGTACGCCAAGTCCTTTAACTATTGTTTTGTTTTGGCAGGGGATATGAATCCGGTAGAGGTCATTCGCAAGGCCAAACTGTTGGCTCAAAAACGAGACCGAGGGGCGGAGGTCCAACAAGGATCTCCTCCTGTGGGCGCAACTGGTTCTGTTGCCTCGGCCCGGACTCAGGAAGAGGCTCCGGCTCGGAATCAGAGAAAAAGGAAACTCATCCAGGTTGAGGACGAGGAAACTGCGTCCGAAGAGAACATGGTTTCGACCCGGAGTCCAACGGGTAAGCGTCCAGGCTATCTTCGAAGTGGAAAGAGTTCCACTTCCCCCGACAAGGCCGACGGGGATGTGCAGGCTGAGGCCGAGGCTGCTTCCCTTTCCACGACGCTCAGAGATGAGGGCGAGGTTCTTTCGTCCTTGCAGGGGCTTATGGACAACTTCCATAAACAGGTTAGGTTCTTGCTGTCTTAACTCTTCTTATTTGTGCGAATAACTGACCTTATTTTTCTCAGGTGTCGGCGAAATTGAGCCTGATCACTGAGCGTCAAGCCGGGGCCGAGTTCTCTTCTTCCCTGAACTTCTTGGCGTCGGTGGAAACCGAGTTGTCCCGCCTACGAGAGTTGGCGGAGACCGAGCGCGAACGAGCCGCCGAGCTTGAAATGCAAGCCGTGGCGAAGTCTGAGGAGGTGATCCGGGTGCAGGGCCTCTTGAAAGAGTCGGAGGAGTCAGCCTCCCAACTGACGGCTTCAATGGCCGAGCTCGAGGGGCAACTGCGCCAGTCCGAGGGCCGAATCTCCGAGCTGGATGTTGAGCTGGCCGAAGCTGTCTCCGCGCAGCGGTCAGTGGAAGTGGAGCGGGATCGGCTTCTCTTCGAGAAGAAACAACTCGTTGCTGAGAAGGAGTGTGCCATCTCCGATTTCCTTCAGTCCCCATCTTTCAAAGAAACCTGCCTGGGGAGGATGTCCGCCTATTATGAAGGTTGGCTCAAAACCGAGGCCGGCACTGAGAAAATGGAGGCGGAGGGGACGAAGTGGTTCGAGGGTGGAGTTCATCATGGGATTAATCTCGTCCTTCGTCGGACCAGGAGAGTAGACCCGTCCTTTCCTCCGCCCGGGGTTGACATTCCCCAGATGCATGATCCCAACTTGAATGACGAGCTCGGGGAGAATCCGGATTACCTTGGGACGCCCGAGCACGAAGAAAAGGATGCAGACGACACCGGCGACGAACGACCCTCAAACATTCTTCCTTAGTGTTTTCCTTGTAATTTTTTTTTGAAATCTCTTCTCTTCTGTAACAAAGATTTTGTCACTGTTTTGCTGCATGCGTGAATAGTTGATAGATTCCTGACATTATTTATTTGGATAAATTTGAATTGTGCCTTTTGAGGAACTGACTCTTTGGCTTCCCCACGCGAACAGACCTAACCACTGGACCGTCGCGCTGTGCCAAACACGTGTCACTGCGCACAGTTCCACTTCCAATCACTACGACTGTTTGACTTCCTTATCTCTTCGTGCATGGTACTATAAATTGACCTTCTCCCTGCATTGCGAAATTCATCCCTTCATCCCTTTTGTTAATCTTTTCATGGCTTCCAATAATTCTGCGAGGATAAATCCTCCGCCTTCCCCGCCGAAAACCACTCGCCGCCGCTCTCCTCCTCAGCCGGATGACACCGAGTCTCGCACAAACTCTTGGTGGTACCGCGCTAAGAAGTTGGAAAGGCGGATCAAACGTCTGCAAAGACTTGTGAACTATCTTCACGGAGTTCCTCAACAAGCAGCGTTCCCAGTTGAGCCTGCTCAGCCAGCTGCTGATGCCATTCCCGTGGGTGACAATCACCCGGAAGAGTCTGTCGGCTCTTCCTAAGTTTCCCTATTATGGCCCTCCCCTGTATATCTCCCCATGGAGGTTTGCCGAATTGGGGGGGCCATCCACGTCCTTCGGCGCCTGGGCTTTGTTAGTCCTGAAGTCCATTGGGCCCGGGGGGTGTCTACTCTCCTATGACTTTCTCTACCTACCAATGGATTTGGGGTCTTTTTTCCTTCGTCCGAAAATCCATGGGGAGGTAGGGAAAGTCATATCTTTTCCTTTTTCAGTGCCGCTGTGTAATAAATGTTGCCGACGTTGCACCGTATCGTGTAGGGCTTGTAATAAATGTTGTAGCTTTTGAGAATACCTCTGTAATAAATGTTGTAGCTTTTGCTGATTATAAATGTGATGCATTGTTCCTTCCCTTGCTTGCCTCTCTTTTTTTTTGCAATATGGCGTTAAGCCCTGGTACTCCCTCTCTTGAAGAGGGAACGTCCTTCATTCGGGCCACCCCACCTTGTTCTTTCCTTATGGCCGATTCGCTTTCTCCCAGCTTCGCCACCGCTCCGACTGCGGTTGGGAAGTGTACTTATCCCGATCTGTCTTCTTTGAGTGAGGATTCTGTCCAGAGCCCCTTCCGCCGGGAGCCTGATCCAACAGGGGCTGCGCAGAAGTCTGGCCGTTTGGTGCGCAAGGTGGGCACGAATGTGCGTGCCTACCTCAAAGGCTTTCGTCGTGCTAACCGGAAGAAGACGATCAGTGTTGACCTCAAAGCGCAGCTTGCGGTCGACCATGAGGCTTCCTCAGTAGATTCTTCATTTTCTGAAGAAATAAACGTGTATTTTGATCATTCGGGAAACAGTGCTTCACGTTCTTGTGTTTGAACAATGATGTATCGCTTTTTTCGCGTAATAAAATTGCTTGCGTGCTATGTTTTCTTCTTCTTCTTCCCCCCCCCCCTTTTTTTTTACCCCAAAGGGCCCTATTGCGCTCGTATCCTCAGCAGGGCGGCGAAAGGTGCGTCCTCAGCAGGACTAGTGGTCGTGGAAGACATCCTAAGCAGGATTGCAAGTTTCTTGTCCTAAGCAGGACCTTGCGCTGCCCTCTGTGCTATTAACAAGTTGTGCCCATTCGGACCTTGTTCTTCGTCTCGTTCAGAGCGCCAATTCCCCGGGTTAAGCGGTGCGGATGGGCTCCCCCCCTGAAGGGACACTCGGCAATAGGTATTGCCGAGTGGCGAGACGGCTGAAATTTGTTTCTCGTGATGTGTGTGTGGGAGCACAAAGGGACTTAGTTCGCGTAGAGCAAAACAGTGGCGTGAGGCCATAAGAAATCGTGGCGTGAGAGCCCGATATCGCTAAGCAGCGTTTAAAAATTGCTTGAAGCAAAACAGAATTCGCGTGGAAGCGAGTATCTCATTGAAGAATATTTTTTTTTTAGCTACCGAGGCCGACTGGTTACGGTTCTCAGTGCCTTACATGTAAAAAGAAATGAGATTGTGCGTATTCCAGTGCCTGCCGAGTTCGCGCCCTTCGAGCGTGGCGAGCTTGTAGGTGCCAGGCCTGAGTACGGCTGTGACCTTATATGGTCCTTCGTAGCTTTTGGAAAACTTTCCTCCTTCTGTAGGCTGACTGTCTTCCCTTTTCCTGAGTACCAAATCCCCTACTCGGAATTCCCTTGCTCTGACTTTGCGGTCGTAGTATTCTTTTACTTGCCTTCGGTAGTTTTCTGCTTTGAGGAAAGCTTGCTCCCGGCGTTCTTCAACGAAGTTGAGATCGGCCGCCATGGTTTCCTCGTTCTCCTTGGCTTCATAGTTCTCCTCTCTCCATGTTGGAATGAACACTTCCGAGGGTGCTCTTGCTTCCAGACCGTAGCACATGGAAAACGGTGTTTCCCCTGTCGCCCTCCTCGGAGTTGTGCGGTATGCCCACAGCACGTTGGGAAGCTGGTCCACCCAGGCTCCTTTGTAAGATTCCAGCCTCTTCTTGATCCCATCCATGATTGTTCGATTGGCGTTTTTTACTTGGCCGTTCCCCTGCGGGTAGGCCACAGAGCTGTAGGTGTGCCTGATTTTCCAATCTCCCAGGAGTTCATTGAAATCTCCGGCCTCGAATTGGGTTCCGTTGTCCGTAGTGATCTGCTTTGGAACACCGTACCGGTAGAGTATGTTGTTGTTCACAAATTTTGAGCATTGTTCTGAGGTTCCTCCCACTAAAGGCTCGGCCTCGATCCACTTCGTAAAATAATCGATGGCCACGATGATCCAACGGAAGTTACCGGGTGCCCTCGGCATCAATCCGATCAAGTCTATCCCCCAATGAGCAAAGGGAATCGATGAGCTGATGGGATGATAGCTGGTTCCTGGTCTACCCGGAATGTTCTGAAAAACTTGGCATACTTTGCAACGCTTGGCGTGCTTGGCATAGTCCTTCACCATGGTCGGCCAGAAGTATCCCTGCAGGACAATGCGTCTTGCCATGGAGAAAGGACCTTGATGTGCTGCGCATACTCCCTCATGCACTTCTTCCATGATTTGCCCCGCTCTGGCTTCATCAACACACCTTAGCAATGTGCCATTGTACGATCTCTTGTATAGTCGGCCATTCTCAACGACGTACGTCGGCGCCCTCTGTTTGATCAAACGGGCCGTCGTCTCATCGCCCGGGAGAATCCCATCCTTCTTATACCGGATTAGCTCCGCGATCCAGCCGTTGACCTCCTCGGTGACAACAGAGATGAGCTGTATGTGGATGCTTGGGGTTCCCAAGTCTTCAATGTGAGCCATCTTGGAGATATGTTCGGGGCTGTCGTTGCTCAGTTTGGAGAGAACGTCAGCCTCGGTGTTTTCCGCCCTCGGGATCTGCACCAGCTCGTATCCTTTGAGGACTTTGAGCAACTCTAAGGCCGCCTCCTTGTATAGGCGCATCCGTTCCTCCTTGGTGTCGAACTCCCCTTTGATTTGACTGACGACCAGGCGCGAATCGCACCTGATCCTAACGTATTCGGCCTTCAGGTTGAGGATGATTCTCAGTCCGCTCAGTAATGCTTCATATTCGGCTTCGTTGTTGGACACCTTGAACTGGAATTTTATTGCATGATAGGAGCGGAATCCTTCCGGTGATTGGATTACCACGCCCCCACCGCAAGCCTTTGCAGCTGACGATCCATCAGTAGATAAAGTCCACCATTCTCCCTGCTCCGCCACCAGAGCACCAATTTTGGGTTATGGAACCCGGGGGCCTAGGTAACTAGGCAGATGAGTATCGAACTAAGCACGAGCGCACAAGGTATGAGGGGTCAAGGGGATTGAGAGTAATAATGTGCTGGTAAGAGTATCACTTAGAACGTAAGTCCGGAGCGTGGAATGAGCTCCTCGTGTGGTGTGTGTGTAGAATGAGATTCCTCCCTCCCCTCTCCCTCTTCTAAGAAGAGGGGTATATATAATGGGAGAGTTAGGGCTAGGGTTTACATACAAAGACCAATGGGCCGGCCCAACAGGCTGGGCCGCCCTAAATAAGTAATTGATAAACGACTAACGGGCCGATCGCACAAACTGGACCTTCCCGACTAATACTATACAAAGACCGGATACCCCCTGTCCAGGGTATCCATCAATAATACTCTCTCGTCTTTAAATAATCTTTATTGTTACGTTTGACTTTCACGAAAAGTGAAAAAAGAGTACTTAGAGCATCTCGAATCATTCTATTTTGACTTGCTAAAAGCTACTCCATCCGTTCCACAAAACCCTTCCCCTTTCATTTTTTTGAATTCCTAAAACACTTCCATCCTCCAGATTAAAAAACGACTTTTACCCTTATCCCTACCTATCACATCATACTTTTTCACTAATAACCAAACTATCACATCTTACTTTTACCCATCACATCAGGGGCAAAATTGGGAAGTCAACCAAAATTACACTTTCATTATTTTTGCCAAAAGTCAAAAGTGGAAGGGTTTAGAGGAATGGAGGGAGTATGATATAGCAAGCCAACCTTTTTTTCTCTTCTCCAATGGTTGTGTAATATTATAGCAAGCTTGCTAAAAATGAGTATGACTTGCTAAATATAACAAGGTCTCTAAAATATAGCAAGCTAAGAGTTGTAAAATGGATTAATAACTCATAGTTGGAAAATGAAGTAAAATGTTGCTTGCTATATCACTATTCACTTGCTAAAATATAAAAATAGCAAGCTAATATAGTAAGCATGGTTGGAGATGTTCTTAGAATTTGATGAGAAAAGATAAATATTATTGGCTACATAGTTCCCTTATTTAAAAAAACTGAAAATTGTTTTGGGACCATCGAAAAAAGGAAAGAAAGAATATTATTGAGGAATTTACCTAAATAGTTCTCCCTCCGTTTTCAAAAATGCCTTCTTTTTTACTCTTTCTACTTCCAACAAAACTTCCACATTCTATTAAAAATTTGCTTTTACCCTTTTTTTTTCATACCATACATATCACAGCATATTTTTTTCTAATAATCTATCAGTCACATCTTACTTTTACTCATCACATCAAGAGAAAAATTGGAAGTCAAATACAATTTAAGACTTCATTATTTTTTACGTTTGGTCAAACTAGGAACTCTTTTTGAGAACGGAAGGATTGCTAAAACATACTCCCTCCGTTTCTTAAAACGGTTCCTGTTTTGACTTTGTGGAAAAATAAGGAAAATGTAATGTTAGTTGACTTTCCAATTTTGTACCTGATGTGATGAGTGAAAGTAAGATCTGATAGTTTAGTTATTAGTAAAAAAGTATGATGTGATAGGTAGGATATGAAAAGGTAGGGGTAAAAGTGGTTTTTTAATAGAAAAGGGAAGTGTTTTAAGAAAAACAAAAAAATGAAAGAGGAAGAGTTTTAAGAAACGGAGGGAGTAGTAACTTTTCTAATGTAATACTATATGTTTTTATTTCTAACGTAGTATCACTGTTCATTGTTCAAGTAATTGTCCCGTGCTACGGACATTGTTCAAGCTAAATGTCTGTCATTACTAGACATTATCCAAGTACTATTTATGAAATAAAAAAAATTAAGTACTACATTCGAAAAGAACATATATTTTATTATTATTAAGTGCAAATTTGACAAGATTATTTAAAAGTGAGTAATAAATACGCAATATTTCATCTTCCCATATACTTTGCGACTTTGGCATGGTTTATATTAACATGCACGCAAGTTATTAAGAATAAAAATGATGTAACTAATGACCTCAATCACCAGAGGTAGATCCACTTTTCGATGCCGGGGCGCCCGCCGGGTAAGTTCTTTGTAATTTGTTTTAGTAAACTAGTATTTCACCCGTGCGATGCACGGGAAAATTTTACCCATAACTCATAAATTCAAGAGTTGTGTAGCTTCAAAAAGCCGAGTAAAACATTGTGCATATATTAAAACATAATAACATAACATATAACTAGTATCAACCCCGTGCTTTGCACGGGCTCACATATATTCTAAGTTTTAACATATAAAAAAATGAAATAGTGTTTATTTTAAATTCTTTAATAATGATATATATATATATATATATATATAGAGAGGATAGGATAGCAATAACTAAATCTAATTTTATTTTGAACGTAGATAATAACACATGCTAGGGAACCAACTTAAACAAAATTTGAAATTTGTGATTGTTAGTCCAAGATATATTTTAGCATACACATAAAAACTATTTTATTTTTACAAATTATTTTACTCTGTAATATTCTCTAGAAGACTTTAGAAATAAATTCTTTGACTTACTTTGTTCAAATCTTAAAATATATGGACATTATAAAGGTGATCTGCAGGGCCGCCCAATCAATATCGAAGGCCCTGTGCATTTTTATATATTTAGGCTCTAAAGTTAAAAATTACAAAGTGTATTGCGAACGTTGTACAAAAATGCAGAAGTATATTTTATATTCTTGTTTCATTACAAAATTATAACTTGAATTTACGGACTTAAAAAGTCCAATTTCCATCAAAAGTATTAAGTAGCTCGATTATTATTGATAAATATTTATATTAAAATTGTTAGCTAATAGACATTAAGGAAGAAAGAATCAATAGAATAAACTAGTTTAAATGGAATAATTACAAGAAATAGCAAAGTATATTAACTTATAGAAAATAAAAGTGAGGACAACTTGGTTAGAAGGTTAATTTCAGATATCATTATCATTTATTTAAGATTAATCAATTAACATAAAAGAAAAAATGTCTTCCTCTAATCCTTTTTATAGAATTTTTCCAACACTTATAAATACCAAGATTAAAATTTTATGTGGTTGAGAAAATAAAAACAAAATATTGCAATAAGAAAACTTAAAATACTTTGTGAGAGTGAAAATAAAAACAATTAACTATTCTAATACTCATTTCATCCTAACTCAATTTGTCCATTACTATTTACTCTAGAATATACTTGATCAAAATTATTTTCACATCAATTTATTTGAAAATAATAATAAATTAAAAAATAAAAGTTATTTACTTAAAAATTATATAAAAAATTTTACGAATCAAAATATGATATGACTATATTATTTTACTAAATTAATAATAAAAATAAAAAATAAAAAAATGAAATTTAATAATGTAAATAATAAATATTTAATTTAAATTAAGAAGGATAGAGTATCATGGAAGAAAAAAATGGGCCCCTTGTAATTGGAGGCCCTGTGCAACTGCACCTCATGAACATCCTCATGGGCGGCGGGCCTGGTGATCTGGGACAATCTAAATTGCAATAAATAAGATATGGGTCCAATTGCCAAAAGATATTTAGTATTAGCGTTTTGAAAAAAGCTATCTACGAGCAGCGTTTAGTGTTAACATTTCTAAAATCAATTTCTACCGTTAAATTTTTTCCAAAACGGTAACGTTCATCTCTAACGTTATTCCCAAACAGGCACAAAGTAATGTGAAAAATATCATATCTAACGTGTTCTAAATTTTTTCATTAAATAATCACTCCATTACTCTAAGAAAAATTTGACATTGTGGGTTACAATGTATTTCAATTCATCAATGTCGGTCTAAAAATTAAAGAAATTGAATTAAAAACAACATCAAAAGTTTACTCCGTATATTATTGTAACAAATGAACCATGAAAATATGCATGAACTTCTATCTTAACTTGTAGAAGTGTAGAACACGAGCCTACATCTTGCTCCTAATAACAAAAGTGGAGGATGAGACCTAAAGTACTTGTCCTCCTTTTTCAATATTGCCAATCTGCTTTGTTATTTTGAAGGCCCAGTGCATCATCCCTATCACCAAACAAGATTTTTCAGCAAAAAATAAAAATAAATCTTTCCAAATAAAAAAAAATTAAAACTTTCAGCAAATAAACAATACTCATTGAAGTAGACAACTGAATGGAAGAAAATTAAAACTCAATTGCATTCATGTAAGAAATCTTCATTCAAGTAAGCAAACTAAGAGACCTCGTAAGTAATCGTCTCCCCTCTCTTTTGGGGCTTCACGCTGTTTCACTTTACCTTCTCTGGTAGATCTAGGATTGCTTGAATGCGATATCGTCAGATTGATCGCGCGTAATGTGGGATAGAAGGTGAGCGATTGTTGTTGAAGAGATAAAACTGTAGTTTACAGTTCCTAAAAAGATAAGGAGTAATAAATGCACTTCAATTTCTTTGTTATTACAAAATTGCCACTCTGAAATTGGATCGTCGGATCAAAAGTGAAATTAAAATTGGACCGTTAGATGCAAAACTCAATTTTTGAAACACTATCAGATTAAATGAAATTACCTGTGATTTGTTCTTCATTAGCTCCTCAATGTAATAGAAAAATTGCTTTTTCTTCTCCTGGAAAATCTATATGCAGACAGTTTAAAAAATTGTTATAATTTTCTAACATTTGGATTATAGATGACATAACAATGATGATACCGATGCCTCAAATATAAGAGCCATAATGGTCTACTTACTCGTGTCCAACAAATGAAAACGAAACACATCCTTTGGTGAAGATCTTCAAGTTTGTCATTACACATTTTGTCCAACATATTTGGCACAAGTTTTTCATATCAACTCTTTGTTGTTTTTTCATATCTGTTATTTTCTCAAGTCTGCACTTCTCATTGTGACCCCGCGCGATTGCTTTTTTATAGATGAATAAAAACAAAAGAAGACCTACATAATTGAATTTGTAAAACATCACCTGACAGTGTATATCACTTTTGTTTTTGTAGTTACTTAGTTTTGTTAGAATGCTATGGTACTTGTTACATTAGATATCTAAAATAAATATGAAAAAAGATAGTTCTTTTTAAACTAACAAATCGCCACGTATTATAAGCAAAAACATAGTTCTTGTAAAACATCACCTGACAGTGTATACCACTTTACCTCTATCCCTAATCCACCTACCAAGCTTTGAGCAAATATAGCAATGAAGTATTTAACTTTGAAATTTTAAAAAAGTGAGAATATACATAAAAGATACATTGAATACACTTCCATTATAATCAAGTGGAGGCATTAAAAAAAATCCGCCATTGTTTCACTTTTTCTAGGAGTTGATATGACTTGTTTTCAATTTAAGATGCTGGTTGTATATATTAAACTACTACACAACAATACCAAGAATCTCAAAAGGCAAATATAAACAAATATGATGCAAGACACCCACTCCTAAACAATGTAACAATGAATCAATTAATATAGAATACCTATATACCCCGGAGTACATCTTTTTGGTATGGGAAAACTTAAAGCAGAGGTTATAAATTCAGTAATTTTCGGCTACGCGTTGGACTCTTAAATTTATAACAATCATAGCACAACACCAAATTATATTTCTATGGATTTAGCATTGAGACAAATTGTCGAACACTTTGAGGGCATACCTTCATGTCAATGAAGTCAGAAAAATCTGCACCCATATTCGCAGTCCGACTTCAGCCCTAGGCTGGCAATTATCCGGCCATTTTATGGAACAAATATTTTTGTAAAAATCGAATCTTACTGAGTGGGAAAATAATCGAGAAATATAGAAAGGAATGATTAAGAGTTCTATGAAATGTAACTTTTCTATTTTTCTTTGAATGCTTAAGAGCGTTTGCTGGGTAGTTGGGTTGAGCATTAAAACTGACATCCAAGCAAAACAAAACAAAAAAAATGCACCAGAGGGAGTAATAGTTCTATGAATTCCTATATCACAAAAACATTAATAGCTTTCAATTAGGGTTTGAAATCGAGGCTATGAAACACAGAGTTGGAAAAACGCACCTAAGGCAGTCAATTTCCCCAAGCGAATCTTTACCCATGGCTGTGGGTTGGGTGGTCGGTGGTGGGTTCTCCTCCGACGCTCTCTCGGTTCTACCTCCTTCTCTGCTATCGACTATTTTACCCTAGGCCGGCGGTGGTCCTGCCAAGGCCAACCAGCCGCGTTGTTTGTGCGATGGAGAGAAGTGGGTTGGAGGTTTGCAGGGCATGGGAGAATTTTTCCGCAGGAATCGTCGGGTAGTTTTTGGAGTGGAAGTTTGTGAATCTCGCCTGATGCACTTTTGAGTGCATCAATAAGGGTAAAAAAAGGCAACTTTGTGAATTTTATGAACTGTTTGTTTGTGACTCTAGCATTACTCTAGACAAAATTGGGCCGTTGATTAGTGACTTTGGCGGGAAGATTGGATTCTCAATTTTCATCCTTCTTTTATACTCCGTATACACTAGACTCGTACCCGTGCGTTGCACGGGCTAATTATAAACTATAAAATTAGGAAAAACATTGATGAAAGAAAATGATAAAATTCAATTATAATAATAACATATAATCAAATAATAAAGAAATTATAAATACTATACATGTTCATCATGAAAGATCACTTCTATTGAATTTCATCCTCTTGCCCAAGTCGGAACAAATTAGACACGAATAGCTCGTAGTGCAAGTGGTTCGACAATTGTCAATCTCGGCAGGCGCATTCCACACACTCTTTGAATGTTTTGAGACATTTTTTTTTAAAGTGGGTCGAATTGGGATGAGAGGTATGAAATGTTTGGAGTATAAATAGTACTCCTTCCGTCCAATGAAACCTTTCCCCTTTCTTTTTTTATCCGTCCCACAAAACATTTCTCATTTCTATTAAAAAGTCACTTTTACCCCTTACTTTTTCATACTCTAACTATCACATCATACCTTTTTACTAATAATCTATCCATCAAATCATACTTTTACTCATCACATCAAATGACATTTTCGGAAATTCAATACCAAAATATACTCCCTTTAAATTCCTCCTAAAAAGCAAAAGTCCCATGTTTCATGGGACGGAGGGAGTATATATAATTGGACAATCAATCTACTCATTAAATATCTTGATTTAGTGAATATATTCCTTAAATATAATTTGACATAAAGTATGCATGGAGTCGCGCACCAACTTTACTATGCACGCGGTTTCATAGAAATACGATACCTATTTATTTATTTTGAGTTGACATTAAGTTTGCATCAAACCACGCATCAATATTACTACGCGCGCGGTTCCATACAAATACACTACATATTTATATATTTTGATTTGAAATAAAGTTTGCATCGAGTCACCCACCAACTTTACTACGCACATGGTTTCATAGCAATACACTACCCATTTATTTATTTTGATTGGACATAAAGTTTTCATCGAGCCACGTACCAACATTACTACGCACACGGTTTTATATCAATACACTACCTATTTATTTATCTTGATTTGACATAAAGTTTGTATTGAGCCACGCATCAACATAACTATGCACGCGGTTCCATATCAATACACTACCTATTTATTTATTTTGATTTGACATAAAATTTGGAAAATGAAGTTATTAGTCCATCTATTGAATGCTTGGAAATGGGAAAATATAAATTAAATGGATTTGAAGTAAAGCACATTGAGCAATGGGATAGATTTGACATTATTATTTTATAGGGAAATGCACTCATGATTTGACCTGAAGATGTCCAAGCTAGCAACCGCGTCAGTCAACCAACTTGGCCGATCCATACCCGTGCGATGCAGTGTCAAAAATTTAATTATAAATTTATGTAAAAATGTTATTACGACGTATAAAAGATTTATTGAAATAAAAATAATGATTACGAACTATTTTATATTGAAGCAAAATAAATTAAAGAAAATATTATATGAAATCATTCATTATATATAGAGATGCACAAAGGTATAGTCTAGATGCAAAATATCAATAATGTAGAACACTGCATAAAAACTTCTTCAAACTTTTATAAAAACTTCTTCAAAGTTATTATAAATACAACGACAAATTAGAAATTGCAAGTCACTTGAAAATTTTAGTTATCTCTCGGAGATGGAGAATGAGCTAAACTTTCTTCTTTGAACTAAATTCATAAATCAAAAGTCTACAAACATTTTTGCATCCCATCCAAATCTAAACATTTTACCCACCTAATTTTTAAAATGCAACACTAAAATTTCACCATACAAAGTTATCTTTCGAGAGAGAGTCGTACCTTGCATTCATTTTTTGGATGCCTTTCTAAAAATTTAAACTAAAAAAAAAGAACAACAAAAGTGTTAAATATGGCAGATATATTACTCTTATTATTTAGAATATTTGTTTACCTTGTTTACTTAGACTTTACCTCCCCACGTGTATGTATAAATACCCCAACATATGATGAATAAAGTACTCAGTTCACAACACGTTATCAGCACGATAGTCCCAACCCTACTCCTTCTTCTTTTTTTTCCCGGCGGCTTTCTTTTTTCCAAGAGACGCAGTGACTAACGCAGTGTTTGGTTGGAGGTAGGGCGAGGTAGGCTGAGGTTATTTTTACACTTTACCTCGTTTGGGAAGAAAAAAACGAGCTAGGCAAGCGGAGGTGGAGGGAGGTATCCTACCTCTTAAACAATGCTTTTCTCGTGACCACCGATTTGGCGAACAACCGAGGTAACTATTTCCTCTTCCCGCTGCTGCCCTCCTCTTCTCTTTTTCGGAATAGCAGAGTGTTGACGGATCTGCTCTTGCAGATTCTCCAGGCCTTCAAACCCTATTGATTGTCGACGGCTTTCTTTCACCTTGGGTACGGTCGATTTTGCTTTCTTCTCCCCACTGCCGATTTTGCTTTCTTGGAAAATGCTAGGGGTACACCAAAGATGAACTCCATTTGTCCCCCACCCCCTCCATAACCACTCAAATAGGTAAGAAAATAAAAAAAATAAGTAAATAAAAATCAAATACAAATGAGTGGTTATGGAGGGGTGGGGGACAAACCCTTTCAACTTGTTTCACTTTTTTTTTTGCTGTTTTTATTTCTTTTTTGTTTTTTTTTGCTGTTTTTCAATCATTGAAATATCATGCTTCGATTTTTTTCCCAGGTTTTTTATGTTTTTTTTTGCAGGTTTGATTTTTAGTTTTTTGGGGTTTTTTTTGCTGTTATTCCATTTTTTTTTGTTTTATTTCTTGCATTTTTTTTGTTTTTGAGTAAAAAATAAGGGCATAAAAGTAAGTTTGTTATTTTACCTACCTCAGATTACCTAATAAATATCCAAACATAATTTTTCAATCATTAACAACTTTACCTACCTTCGATTACTATCATTATCTATCTAATAAAAACTTAACCTACCTCCAACCAAATCCTCTTTTAGCCGAAAAGAAACCTAATCGCCGAAAAAGGAACGGAGGGCCTGTTTGGGAATAGCATTAGCGATTAGCGTTAGAGTTTTGGATAGGTTATGTACGGACAGCGTTTAACCTTAGCATTTTTATTTTTAAAGTAATATAGGCGGTTAAAATTTCTATCCCCACCGGTCCAGAAGCCTCGCCGCCATCACCTTATCCTCTTGCCGAAACCTCCGCCTGTGGGACGGCGTAATCAAAGCTCTTCGACCGGAAAAGGAATAGAGCAGAGCTGAATTCCGGTTCTTCTTCTCCAATTTCTCTATCCCAAAATCCAGGTATTCCGAATCCCTAAAATTGATGTGAAGAATGACAATATATCCTGTTTGATCTAGATTATGATTTGTTTGAGATTGAAAAGTGTTATGAGTTTTTCTATACTTGACGCTTTTTAAGGGAAAGAATTTGATTTCAATCATCTTATAAATAGATTTTCAAATACAAATATTGAAAAATCATTAGCAGATTTCTAAACCAAATTTACTGTAAGCATGTCTTTAAAAAACACAAATCATTAGCAGATTTCTAAACCAAATTTACTGTAAACATGTCTTTTAAAAAGAAATAAAGACAAAAATGGAGCTGGGATTCGAACCCCTGATGCTGGGGTGTAATCGCTAAAATCAGACCAACGTGCCACTGGTAGATCTTGTTCATGAATTGATTGCAACTTACCGTAAACCAAGTTATAGACAGGACCATATGTTCATTCTAGATCTGTTTTTTTTGTTTTTGTTGGGATTGGCAATTTTTTTAGTTACATGCTGCATACAAAAAAAAAAGTTACAATCATGGATTATCCTATCATGAAATTGTACATAGTTATCCTATTATACCTATAAATCTTGAACTGTTGCTTTTTAAAGTTGTGATTGTACACAAACATTGACATATGTGCTTATGTGAAAAAAAAATACATATTTATTTTTGATAATGTGATAAATATTTTGTTGTTTTAAATGTTCATGACCTATAAAAGAGGATTTTCAAGTGAAGTATCAAATTTTATCATGTTTTATCACATGAGGAGTTAAGTGTATATGTAAATTAAGATACCATACACACAAATGGCATTTAGATCTCTTTGGATATGCATCATTGTAAATACGATTATTATTTCTTTGGATATACATCATTGTAAATACGATCATTATTACTTTGGATATGAATCATTGTAAAATGGTAGCTTCATTCATATTTTGTGTTGAAAAAAAAATGCATTCAAATATGTAATTATGGATTATCTTTGTTGGTTGATGCTAAGGGAACGAAAATGTGCATTTTAATACTCTATACTTGAATAATGACTACTTGATAATGACCAAAAGTCCTACATTGAGAAATAAAAACAAATGGTCCTATATTGGGAAAGTCATTATGTTTTAGTCCTATTTAGGTAAATTACTCTTGCTTATATGGGGTTTAATTGCCTCAAAAATATATTGGAGCCTTGTAACTTTCGAAAATATGTTAGAGGACCCTACACTACTTTACCTTCTGGGTGAGTAGGGTACGTCAATACGTCATACTATCGAAATTTATCATAGATTGTCTTTTTTTAAAATAATACGAAGTACAATTTTTTTTTAAAAAAAAATTTATAGATTAATACCAATGTAAAACAGAGTACAATGCTTTAGAAATAAATATCGGGGGGACTTGAATCCACTCCGAAAAATCAGTCTCAGAATCAGACGTTCGTGCCAACATATGAGCCACCTGATTCGCTGATTTCCTTACAATTGATAATGTGAGAGAGTTAAAGTCTCACATCATTATCTTATAATCAGAAATAACATCCAAAAAGTAAGAGTAGTTTTCTCAATCTTCTTGGATTGCCTTGTACACCACCTCACTATCCATCTCCACAATGAGAATGCTCTGACCGAACGAAGTTTTCAACCATTGAAAGGCCTCCCGAAGGCTTGCCGCTTCGTCCATTCGTGCGTCTCCAACACACCCTAACCCAACATGAGCTCCATGTATAAAGTTTCCCTGTGTATCATGAACAATCATTCCAACCCGCGACAGCTTCGTTTGCATGTTGAAACTTGCATCCATTGCACATTTGCATTTTAGAACACCCTCGTCTGGCGCTTTCCACTTGTCTGTTCACCATCCCGAAGCAGCTCCTTCAACTCGGATTGTGTCTCTTTCCGACCTCCATTTTTGCAAACTCCGATCAGCTTTGGTGACTACTGCCACTGTACTACAAGTTGATGGGCCTTCTCCCTCGTATGTACCCTACAAAGCTCCTCAAACCACACAACCATGCTGCCAAAATCTCTTACAGGTATATAACCCACTACCTTGAGATATGCTTGAGCAAAATTACAACCTATGAGGCCGTGAAACATGATTTCCTCCTCTACACAGCTTCTTAGGCAAACACTTACAATATCCACATGCCTTTTCCACAAATTAGCCCTAACTGGTAAATGGTAATACCTCATTGAGTGTTCTTCACATGAAGTTGCGAACCCGCGAAGGAACCTGCATCTTCCAAACAAAAGACCACATGTCACTATTAGGAATATCTCATGGCCACTGTTCCTCATCCCTCCATGTCAACCTATTCTCCCACCTATGCATGCTCAACGGGATGCATATGATCATATGGAGTACGATATTGGTATGTGATGAAATACAAAATCATTTGGTATCATTTTATTTTGAGATGAAAGGATACAATTTATATTATGCTAAAGCAATACTAAAAATCAAACATTCATAATTCAAATATTGAAATAAAAGCACATCCATGCATACGAAAAAAATCCAACTTTGTTCAAACTAAAATTGTGTACAATCTAAAATGAAAAGAAACTTTGTTCAAACTAAGAATTGTAAATGAAAAGAATATAAAATAACAAGTCTACATTTAAAAAATAATATTCCGTACTCTGTACCATTTTTTCAATTAGTACGATATAAGATTGAGTTTTTTTGAGCTAATTGTAGAATAATCTGGATATATTCCATCAGTACGATAATATCCACGCTTGTAAAGCATCCCATTAAGCTCAAAAGACGAGTCGAGTGCAGTCTCATTAACCCAATCATCAAAAACAGTGATTGATCAAGAACATTCATGTCGTTTATGTCGTTGTTCGAGCCTGCAACACCAAAAAAAAGCATGCCAAAATCACGTAGTGAGACAATTTTTTCATTCCCAATTCGTGCAATCGATGCTCCCAAGCATGCCAACAAAATTGTGTTTAGCGGCATGTCTCGCCTGTAACTGCTCAATGTCGCTCATTATCGCCATACATAAATACCTTTATGATAAAGTCGAATAATAACTTTAGAACAATTTTAAAAGCTTTACAATAAACAGTAACTAGTCCATTAACCATACATATGCTGCTTTAACAGGTAAACACAATATATAAATTGCTTTATCCATTAACTAAACACCTTAAAGCAATATACTCTCCGCTCATTACGTTGAAGGAATTTACTCCTTATAGTAGATGTGAGGCATGTGGATATGTTACCCACACCCTACTTTTGATGGTAATGGCCGGTTATGTCTGGTATTATTTTAAAGGAAAAATATATGTTCTGATGGGTATATTGATGTATAGTGATTGAGGCCATATATCCGATCCAGTAGTGTTTAGGTCCAGGCCACCGAAGCCCACATACTAGGATTACTAGGTAAGAAGATGATCCCGTGTGAAATAGATTGGGCTAACCCGACCCAGAAGCGAGGCCCAAAGTCTCCCATGTGGCGGGTGAAGGTAGGCGTTATGGTTAGAAGATAAGTGGTGATCACCTATGACCTCCCCACGTTCCCCATGATCTTCCTTCCAAGATCATCCATGTCCTCCATGGACGTGGGGTGGTTTCTTGCAAATGGTTACCTCTTGATCTCTCTCTATATATACCTTAATATCTCTATAAATGGCATTATATTGATTCATCTCTCTTCTTATTATATTACGGATTATAACCACTGCTTCATATTATATTACATAATAATTCCGGTGCATTATCCGTGACTTTATTTATTTATTTTTATTCAGAAACATACAAATGCAAANCCATGTCCTCCATGGACGTGGGGTGGTTTCTTGCAAATGGTTACCTCTTGATCTCTCTCTATATATACCTTAATATCTCTATAAATGGCATTATATTGATTCATCTCTCTTCTTATTATATTACGGATTATAACCACTGCTTCATATTATATTACATAATAATTCCGGTGCATTATCCGTGACTTTATTTATTTATTTTTATTCAGAAACATACAAATGCAAAATGATGCATTTTCAAGCAAAACACCCACCACAATTCACAACCCAACAATAGAACTGTTCATATTTTAAAAAATGAACAAACCAACAATCATAGAAACACATGCACAAAATACAAAACCCTACTTACAGAAAAAGAAGAACATGAAGGGTTGAATTACCAGTTTTGAGAGCAGATTTTCCTCCATTACTAAACTCCAGTCCTTTCCCTCTTTTTTCTGACATCGTCCCTCCCTGCAAAATACATAAACACAGAGCACACACATTACGGCATAAAAACTAAATCTCGTTAAACAGAGAAAGAACGAAATGGAACCCTTTTGGCGATTTTATTTGGGGTAATAAACCCAAAAGAAAAATCTTTTTTTCCCTAAATGAAAAAAATCGCGAACAAGATTACCGATAATCAAAAGATATGAGATTATAGTCTTATGTTCAGAAATCTTGAGTGAATAGAGAGGACAAGGCTTCAGTATATGTGTTGAGAGCCAGTAGAGAAAGGCGACTGTAGAAGTGAGAAGAAATGTAGAGGCTAGAGACATGTGTAACTTTTGGGGTTTAATTGCCTCAAAAATATATTGGACCCTTGTAACTTTTGAAAATACGGAGTATGTTAGAGGGCCCAACTCTACTTTACCTTCTGGGTGAGTAGGGTACGTGATACTATCGAAATCTATCATAGATTGCGTTTTTTAAAATAATACGAAGTACGATTTTTTTTTTTTAAAAAAATCAATGGGTTAATATCAATGTAAAACAAAGTACAATGCTTTAGAAATAAATATTGGGGGGGGGGGGGTGAATCCACCCCGAAAAATCAGTCTCAGAATCAAACGTTCGTGTCAACATATGAGCCATCTGATTCGCTGATTTCCAAACAATTGATAATGTGAGAGAGTGAAAGTCTCACATCATTATCTTATAATAAAAAATAACATCCAAAAAATAAGAGTAATTCTCTCCATCTTCTTGGATTGCCTTGTATACCACCTCACTATCCATCTCCACAATGAGAATGCTCTGACCGAACGAAGTTTTCAACCATTGAAATGCCTCCCGAAGGCCTGCTGCTTCGGCCATTCGTGCATCTTCAACACACCCTAACCCAACATGAGTCTCACATATAAAGTTCCCTTGTGTATCACGAACAACCATTCCAACCTACGACAACTTCAATTGCATGTTGAAACTCGCATCCACATTGCATTTTAGAACACCCTCGCCCGGCGCTTTCCACTTGTCTGTTCAGGCAAACACTTACAATATCCACATGCCTTTCAACAAATTAGCCCTAACTGGTAATACCTCATTGAGTGTTCTCCTCATGAAGTTGTGAACCCGCGACGGAACCTGCATCTTCCAGACAAAAGACCACATGTTACTGCTAGGAATATCTCATGGCCACAGTTCCTTATAAAGGAGGCGATACCCTAGCTTCACCAAGTAGGTTCCTTTGATATCATCCATCCATGTCCACCTATTCTCCCACCCATGCATGCTCAACGGGATGTATATGATCATACGGAGTACGATCATTTTACTTTGAGATGAAATGATACAATTATATTATGCTAAAACAATACTAAGAAAATCAAACATTCATAATTCAAATATTGAAATAAAAGCACAACCATGTATAAGAAAAAAACACAACTTTGTTCAAACTAAAATTGCATACAATCTAAAATGAAAAGAAACTTTGTTCAAACTAAAAATTGTAAATGAAAATAATATAAGATAACAAGTCTACATTTAAAAAATAATATTCCGTAGTCCATATCACTTTCCCAATTAGTACGACATAAGATTGAACTTTTTGAGTCATTTATCCTTGAGTTCTTCAAAAATTGTATGGATTCTCCTTGAATTTTAAAAATTACATTATTGGTCCCTAAACTTTTAAAAAAGTTACATCAATGCTCTTTCTACGACAGATTCGCGAGTGCGTTAATGACATGCTTATTAACATACTTTTTGCTGCTTGATGAAAATATCATGGATAGATGAAAAGGTTGATTGACTGATGAAGAGTTTGATTGACTGATGTCCAAACTTCAAATTTTGTTATCGATGGCTATATCGAGAATAATTATTTAGGCTTTCAATAGATTTAAAATATAGAAAATAATGTCAGGGAAAACGAGTGATATACAAGTTTAGATGAATCTGCACTTGCACTGAACGAGCGTGTGATTCACATACTCCCTAGGGAATATACAAGTTTAGATAAATCCACACTTGCACTAGGGGGTATTTATAGTCGTTTTTTAAAATTGCCCAACGGTCATAATTTGGACTGTTGGGCGGAGGTGGGGGGGGGGGGTAATGTTCGAATTGCAGCAAAGGCTGCATCAAACCTTTAACGCAACTGCGTTAACACCTTGATAACAGTGGAAGGGGGCGGTGTTTAACGTCCACATGACGTTAACCTAACACCATAATGCTAGTGGGCACCCGTGCTCTAATATTACATGGAAAGAGGTGGTCTGGAATAAGTGGACTATCCCAAAACAACAATTTACTCTTTGGTTGACCTGTTGGAATATGCTCCCAACAAGAAGTAGATTGAGTAGATACCTAGCAATAGACACCAAATGTATTTTATGCAATGAAGCAGTAGAGGATGTGGATCACCTATTTTTTAAGTGTGCTTTCACTAACAAAATGCTGAAGAAAATATCACAGTGGGTTAGCTCTAAGTTGGAAGCCATAACTATCATGGATATGGTTCAAAAATTGAGCATAATTAATCCTAAAATATGGAGGTACTCTTTGATTGCCATTTTTACGGCTTGTTGTTACTCTGCGTGGAAGGCGAGGAACAAATATCTTCATACAAAGGAGTTCCCTGACCTTCAACAGATTATTCCTTAGATTGAGTATCACTTGAACATTTATACTAGGGTAAAAATGGGTTTGTGACATGCTGTCATTGATCTTTGTTTAATGAGTAATTTACCTAAATAGGACTAAAACATAATGACTTTCCCAATATAGGACCATATGTTTTTATTTCTCAATGTATGACTTTTGGTCATTATCAAGTAGTCATTATTCAAGTAAATGTCCACATGTCTATAGCCTCTACATTTCTTTCTCACTTCTACAGTTGCCTTTCTCTACTGGCTCTCCACACATATACTGAAGCTCCTCTTGTCCTCTCTATTCACTAAAGATTTCTAACCTAAGACTATAATCTCATATCTTTCGATTATCGGTAATCTTGTTCGCGATTTTTTTTATTTAGGGAAGAAAAGATTTTTCTTGGGTTTATTACCCCAAATAAAATCGCCAAAAGGGTTCCATTTCGTTCTTTCTCAGTTTATCGGGATTTAGTTTTTATGGCGTAATGTGTGTGCTCTGTGTTTATGTATTTTGCAGGGAAGGACGATGTCAGAAAAAGGAGGGAAAGGACCGGAGTTTAGTAATGGAGGAAAATCTGCTCTCAATACTGGTAATTCAACCTTTCGTGTTCTTCTTTTTCTATAATTAGGGTTTTGTATTTTGTGCATGTGTTTCTATGATTGCTGGTTTGTTCATTTTTAAAATATGAACAGTTCTGTTGTTGGGTTGTGATGGGTGTTTTGCTTGAAGAATGCATCAATTTGCATTTGTATGTTTCTGAATAAAAATAAATAAATAAAGTCACGGATAATGCACCGGAATTATTATGTAATATAATATGAAGCAGTGGTTATAATCCGTAATATAATAAGAAGAGAGATGAATCAATATAATGCCATTTATAGAGATATTAAGGTATATATAGAGAGAGATCAAGAGGTAACCATTTGCAAGAAACCACCCCATGTCCATGGAGGACATGGATGATCTTGGAAGGAAGATCGTGGGGGAGGTCATAGGTGATCACCTCTTGTCTTCTAACCATAGCGCCTACCTTCACCCGCCACATGGGAGACTTTGGGCCTCGCTTCTGGGTCGGGTTAGCCCAATCTATTTCACACGGGATCATCTTCTTACCTAGTAATCCTTGTATGTGGGCTTCAGTGGCCTGGACCTAAACACTATTGGATCGGATATATGGACTCAATCACTATACATCAATATACCCATCAGAACATATATTTTTCCTTTTAAAATAATACCAGACATAACCAGCCATTACCATCAAAAGCAGGGTGTGGGTAACATATCCTCAGGCCTCACCTCTACTATAAGGAGTAAATTCCTTCAACGTAATGAGCGGAGAGTATACTGCTTTAAGGTGTTTAGTTAATGGATAAAACAATTCATATATTGTGTTTACCTGTTAAAGCAGCATATCTATGGTTAATGGACTAGTTACTGTTTATTGCAAAGCTTTTAAAATTGTTCTACATTTGCAAAAGGGAAGGATGACAGTGCAGGGAAAAAGAAAGGAAGGAAAGTTCAATTTGGTTCTGAAGGTTAGGTCTATTTTAATTTTTAATTGCATTTTTTTCTTATTATGGTTCTATCATTGTTTGAGAGTAGAAAGGATGTTTCTCAATATTTTATATATGCACAATAAATCTAGATTCACCTGATGGAACTTTCGCGAGATCTAATGGCAAAGCAGATACACCATTTTCTAAAGGTTAGGCTCTTACACAATACCCAATTTTTGGGTTTTCATGGATTAACTTTCTTCTTTTTCATTTTTTTTTTCATTTTTGGTGCAAATATATTGTGTGATTGTGAAAAGGAAGCAAAGGTGGAAAAAGTGGAAAAGGCCAAACTTCAAAAGTTCCTCTTCCCTTGGAGCTAAGAGTTGAGCAAGGTTTGTTTTTCCATCTTAGCTCAAAGATGCATTTTTGGTTCTAATATATCAGATGGACAGAAGGCTACATATATTGTTTCATATCAACTCTTAATTATTTACCTTTTCACTTCTCTTTTCTGTATTTTCTTATGTTCATCTTCCCCTATTTATCTCGTTATTATTTTGAAGAGTTTGTCTTTGGTGCTGTGTTTTTACCCTGTGCATGTGTGCTTTCTGTGCTTTGGGTCTAGTTGCTAGTGTCGGCATGTGTGCTTCATGTCTCTGTGCTCATACTTTGTTTGTGTTGTGTTTACTTTGTCTGCGCGATTATGTTTGAGCCATGTGTCTCTTGGAAACATCTTCCCTACTTCCGAGTAGAGGTAAGGTCTACGCACAGCCGCACACACATCCTCACCAGACCTCACTTATTGTGGGGTTTTATTGGGTTTGTTGTTGTCTTTGCTCTCAATCATTTGTAGCTTTTACAGCAGGAATCTTAAATTTTGCTTCCTTCAACCTTTTCCAGTTCTTGCAAATTCTCCATTTCTCTCCTACCAAACAACAAACTAATTCTACCATATTTTTCTACTCTTTTTCTTTCTCCATTTGTCTATCACTCTTTTTTCTCTTCATCTCTTCCCTCAACCCAACATAGGCTCAGTTACATCTGTGTGCAAATGCGATCTAAAAAACAACTTTATTGTGATGCCAATGTTCTCCCCTCCCTTTGTATATGGAAATTCACTCATAAAAGCATTGAACTTAACCCACATTAATGAATCTTGTGGATAGTTTTTACATTTTCTGTTCTTTTTTATAAAAAAAATCATCTTTAAGCTCTTTATATATAAATATGCAGAAATTTCTGAGAATACTGAATGCCTGATGGACTGTGAAGCTGCTGAAATCTTAAAAGGAATCCAGGAGCAAATGGTTATACTGTCTGAAGATCCAACTATAAAGCTTCCTGTGTGGGTAGCATGTTATTTCTTTTAATATTTTTTTTCCAGTAGAAGATGATTTTTTCATTTTCTGTTATGTCTCCGATTGGTAAAAGCTTATTAAATCACATTCTTGTGACCATGTATTTCCCTACTTGATACATAGTCAAATACTCCGTGTCATGCACTGTTCATTACATTGAAACAAAAAAAATTTAACTTTCTTATTATCAATTTTACAACGATACTTCGTAGTGAGAATCAGTACTTTCCCCTAAGAGGCCCTAAGTGTTATGGTTCTAATTTTTTTGTAAATTTTTTTGGTTGTTTATGTTTTTGGGCTGATAGATCATTTTACAAGGGACTGATGTATGCACTGAGACACCAAGTTTATGAGAACCCAGAGACTATTAAACAAGCACTTCAGTATCCTTTTATATATGTTATAAGACAAATGAATTCCGTACGAGAACATACTTTTTTCTTGTTCCAATAGCACCTAAAATGATTTGTGCCGTTAACTCAGACCAGACCTTTGAAGAAGCATGGTGTATGTGACAGCGAGGTATGTACAATATTAATAATTGAAATTCAGACAGGTCTTGTTTGGTAAACCTTATGCGGTGGGTCCTACGTGGTAACAAAAATTACAAATATTGCTGCAATGCGATGAGAATTTCCACTGGCGGTGAGGGGCCATGGTGGCCAACCCCCCCCCCCCCCCGGGGCCACCAAAAAACCATTGGTTTACCAAATGGAGATCTAATGTTTATATGCACTTTCACTGACATGCTTTGCATTGCAGATATGCATGATTGCCAACTTTCACATGGAATCTACTGATGAAGTGTTTGCTCTCATCCCCTCTTTGAAGGTAAATTTGTTGCACTTGACTCGTTGGATGAATATATGGTATCTTATTGAGCGGGCTTGAGGATCATATCATTTTTCCACTTAGAGGAGCTCCGTGAGGGTAGAACTTGACTGAAGTGATTGAATAGATTAAATTGGGACCCACACATTTGAATTGGTCACATCATTCAAAACATTATTCAAATATTATTTCATTAAATTAAAGAAGATTATCTTAAAATGACAGTAGAAGCACCGTCATTTTATTCTATTTAAATTTTCATCTAAAATGTACCCGGAGTACCATCTTTACTATTGTCATTGGTTTCACTTGAAACAACACTTGGTATTTTGTATAAAATATGAGTTTTATAACCATAAAACATTGATTACCAAATGAGCACTCACGATGTATTATTTTTGCCTTCAAAATTTTTCAACATGAATTTTTTATGATTTGGTCGATTGGGTAGGTCTCTGAAAGTTTTTTTGTCGGGTCTGTCCGAATCTTTCTTGTCAGGCGTGATCTAAAATTTTCTTATCTTGTCAAAGTATAGCCTAAATCTTTCGAGTCTAGTTTGGTTTGATCGGATTAAAATAAGAATTACCCCATAGCAGTAAGCACACAACAACTATGTAAGTGTGGAATTTGATGTTTTTTTTGCTCTTTTCATAATGGTTTCTTCTTATGCATATTAGGGTAAGAAGAAAAAGCTGGAAGAACCCCTAAAAGCAGTGTTGGAGGAATTAACTAAGCTGAAGAACTCATCATAATTCATGAAGCCGTATATTGCAGAGGTGAGATGCCATCTTTGCATGTCCCCTTCGTTTTCTTCCTTGTGCATAATCAATGGCCCAAAAAATATTCCATAGAAATAATATCTCTGCTATTGTGTTTGAGCCCGGGTCTCTTGTAGACAACTTTTCTACTTCCTGAATAGGGGTAAGGTTTGCGTACACACATCCTCCGAAGACCCTACATTTTCCCCATACCCTACCCTTTTGTGGGATTTTACTGGGTTTTTTCTTGTATAAATAATGGTCTCAACCGGTTTCTCCGTGGATGATCATAAAAGATGACACTTTGTTTTTTTTTCTTTTTTATGTGTGGGTACAGGCAAGGATCAGGTGATTTGTGTCATGTTGTAACTACTGCTTGGGCTTAGGTAGTCGATGATGTCCATCACTGACTTGTGAGCTATTTCGAATTCAAAGTGTTTATTCTACTTTTGCCCTTTCAACATTTGTGACAACTCTACATGTAGTTTTCACCATGACCCTCACTTTTGACAACTCTACTTGATTTTGCCTTGCCTGACCTTTGTTGACTTTATGAGGAATGATATCAAAATATTATCAAAAATACTACATAGCATGTTTTCATATTTGCACAAAGGAGAAGACCCATGAAGCAGTTGATGTTTATAGTGCACAAATCAGTAAGGTTGTGGTTGGTCAACCATCTTTGTGCTCTTTCATAGCAGAGTTTCAATCACAGAGGCAATCTAAGGTTTGTTTGGTGTGTTGGAAAAGACAGCTTTGACGCAATTCGTAGAATTTCTCCTCTTGTGTTTCCGAGGTCCAATGTCTTTGTTCATGTTCCAAAAGGTGAAAGCCTCACTCGGTTGCACTCAAACCGTTAAGAATACAAAGGACACCATTGTCAGACTCACCGGAATTGCCTCGAAAGTACCTTTTCCCAAATTGCCCAGGTGGGGCACATGCCCCCACCTGTTGGCTCTTCCCCTGCTACGCGGAGGGCGTAAAATCATATGGTACTAAGTACCCTCTTAGGGGTTGTTTGGTTCCATGAGGTGAGTGGAAGGAGATGGATAGAAGTGAAAGGACCTACGTAATTTTTATACCTACGTAATTTTTCCCCTCTCTCTTTAAGCATATCTATTTTGTTTCTTTAGAATAAAGTTTGGGTAGTGAACCCTCAAAAAGAAAAGGTTTGGGTGGTGAAATGTTTAGAGACGGCCATGTAGTTGACAAGAATACCCTTAGAGCCCGTTTGTGAGTTTTGAAGGTGTTCCAAAATTTGGAAAACATGATATATAAGTTTGAGTAAATTCCATAATTGGCCCTTTATAACAGGGGGTTTCTCTATTTAGTCCTCTATTATCAAATATTACTCCAGTGGTCCTTCTTTTATAGGAATCTTTCCACAAATAGTCTTTTTTTTATTTTCTATCATGTTGGTGTTAATTTGAGGGCTAAAAGTATAATTTCACAATGACAATATATCTTTTTTGTCATACATAATTCCAAAGGCTATTGCGTTTGCGTCGTTTGTGAATTACAATCACTTTCTACTCCTACCATAGTCTAAAAATGTGGTCTTTCGTCGGAATCCTATCTCACAATCATAGTCATTATTTTTGTGTTATCCGTTTAACCAATATCAGAACACGTTACTAGACATAATGTTGATATCAAATTATAGTTTTAGCCTTTAAATTAACACCAACATGGCAGAAGATCAAAAAAGGACCATTTGTGGAAAGACACCCTTAAAAAAAGACTACGAGGATAATATTTCATAATAAAGGACTAAATATGCAAACCCTCCTGTTATAAATCACCAATTATGAAANGGCTTGGAAGTTGCTTTCTTCCACATGAGATTGTGGTTTAGAGCTTATTCTCTGTAACTTATTCTTATTCAATTTGATCAAATCAGAAGTCGTTTTAAATATAATTACAATCAAATTAAGTCAAATAAAATTTTAATGAAATCACATTAGATTCAATAAGTTCTTACCGGGAGAAAAGCTCCCTTTGAAAATCAAAGCTAATGAGAATACTCGGAGTACTTTTAAGAGATTGGGGGTGCAATTTCGTGGATAACATGTAAATTATTAATTCAAGGGTCAATACAATGTATACTTACAGAATATACATACAATGCATCGGGGCATACTCCAATAACACATAGGCAAGTCATGCCCAACAACCAAAAAATCAAAGCAAATGAAAATATAAGGGATAAGGCACAAGGAAGAATCCAAGTCCTATCCCAGTTTCCACAAGCTACTACCCTCAAAGGGCGTAAAAGAACAGCCGCCAAGGATCAGAACCACTCCATAAGCCCACCGCAATATGCAACTGCCGAGATCATCTTTCCATGGGGGTGCAATTTCGTTGACATAGTAGAGGTTGCATTTTCCACAAATGACAATTTTTAGGCTTCCCATAAATCTTTTAAATTGATTTTCATGGAATCTAATTTCAACTTTTTTTTATCACACACCATTTCTAATCTTAACTTTCAAATCTTTTACTTTTTTTAGGAAAAATAACTTCAATTTTCTTCAAAGAAATTCAATTGAGAAAATTATGAAACTTTGTGAGACAGAGTTTAATAAATAAAGATCCACTCTTTTCGTCCTAGTGTTTCTGTCCACTTTTCTTTTTTGGTTGTCGCACTGTCTCTGTCCCCCTTCTATTTATGGTAGTAATTGAGTTCCAAATGACCAATTTGGCCCTAATCCAAAACCATTTACACAATGATGTTGGCCACACCATATTTCGCAAATGTAGCCTCTCGATCACAGCTATGGCTTCTCAAATGTCTCCTCCCTCATCCAGATATTTCTACTCGACAGCAACTTAGGCTTTAAGGGCATTTTAGTACTCCCTCCGTCCCAATTTATAATGCCTGTTTCGGTTTACGATGTTTAACTGAAATTATTTTCAAATCATTTTATGTGACAAATGGTATAAATTAAAAAATAAAAATTACATATTAAAATACTACTACATCAAAAGATCTACAAAACTAGTAGTGACAATAGTACTTTATTTTATCAAATTGCTAACAAAAATAGAGAAAGAAAGTGAATATGGTTTGAACTTGTGAATAGTAAACAGACACTATAAATTGGGTCGAAATGAAAGTAGACATAAGAGCACCCACAAGTTATCTACGAACATATAATTAAATTTATTACTACAAATGAACTTGTAAATTTTTAATTATGGTAAAACTAATTTTTAAAAGTTTTACATTTCATTTCTAAAAATTTAATTATGGTAAATATTTAGAAGAAGAAGAAAAAAAAAGAAAGAGTACGTGTTTAGAAACAAAGAAAGAAAAGTGTATTTTCTCAAAAATAAAAAAGAAAAGTGATTGAACTTTTTTCTCTTCAGATTAATTCAAACCATTCAATTTTTTTGTTCAATTCCACCGTAAAAAACTATTCCTACAACCCAATTTTTTTATTACTCATTAAAAAAGAAAGGGAAAGAAGAAGCGACACATGTCAAATGTAGCAACTCCTCTTGGAGAAGTATTTTGGCTCCCAAAATATTTGCTTTTTTTCATTCAAATAGGTCTTTCAAAAACATAATAAGAAAATTATCAAAACAAAAAAAGTCATCATGTCATATTAAGTTATAAGAGCACAACTTTGAGGCAAGAATTGACAAAATCTAAGCTGGTAAAATGAGTGGTAAATTCACTCCCATAAGCTTTTGAAACAACACAATATGTGTCCCAAATATTTACTTTACACTACTATGTATGCATAGAATTCACAAACAAAACAAAAGAGATGGGAACCTCTAATTTGGGAGTTTTAGATTTATCTTTTAATGGTATAGATTAGCTTTGAAAGTGCTAAACTAAATGCTGCCATTGGATAGCATTTTGGAAACACTAAAGTTAAATGGTAAAGTTGATGCCAAGCGGTGCCTAAAACAGTGGCAGAAGTAACATCACAGAGGAGTCCAGTGCAAAAGCATAACAATCCATCAATGAAGAAACATCAGACGAATTGCTTTAGAAACTCCGTAGCCACAAGCCTCCCTCGGGTGTTAACAGACAATTTCAGCTCGCTGATCTCCTTCTCAATGTCCTGTCAAACCGAAGCAAACATACCGAGAAAATGAGGGCAAGATGTACACAAATATTATGCCTACCTCAAAAACAAGACGGTAGAACAAATTGGATGAAAATATGAACAACAATTTGTACACTTTACCCCAAAAATATGGTGGAAAAAATTGTATCCCAACACACTTCCATTTCATTGTTGCCAGTCAATTTACAAAATAAGGTTGATTTTATTGTATCGGCCAATTTTAGATTCCTATGGAAAGTATGGAGTGCAGAGAATTAGAGGATCGGCCACTCCGTAAAGAAATTTCTATTCCAAGTTTACCTGAATGTTCCAAACTTTCTATTAAAGAGTAAGATATCATTTTGTAGATATATCTATACCTAGTAAATCATATTCTTAATCCATTTCTCTAAACCTTAACAGTGAGTTTCAACATTATGAGTGAGATGTGATTTTAATGGAGGAGAAGGATGGGACTGAAAGGGCAGGGAGTGACTGTAAATTTGTAATGATCTCTCTCACATCATTTTTCTCTAACCAAATACATGGTGAAGGACAAATAGAGAGAAAATAACGCTATAAAAGTGCATTAATTCATTTCTTTACCAATAAAACAAAAAAGGCGTAGCATCCATTTATTTATTACCAAAAGAGATAGAATAAAGATGCAATAAAATGCAGACAGTAAAATAAATAGTTGTGTTCTTAGAGCATCTTCAATGGCCAGGACCATCTTGGATCTCAATTGTGGTCCCACAAATTGCCATGATAAAAACATACTTCAATTTTTTATTTTCAATGCTATGGTCCCACATTGGGTCCCAAGTGACTTAAAACATCCAATTTAATTATAAAACAAGGTAGAAACAATTAAAAAAATTACTCCGCAATAATTAATAAAACAATTGGGACGGTCCCTCCAAGTTGAGACTGTCCCAAGTTTTGTACTCATTAAATGGAGTGAGACTTAGATTGGAGCCCCAAATGATTGCCACATAGGAAAGAGAAAAGACTCGAGTCTAGCATTGGAAAAACACTATAAAACACAATTGATCTTACGGTTCTTACCTCCAGGAACTGTACTATAAAATCAATAAGTTTCTGCTTCTGCATTTCCTCACAATGATAATTACTTATGAGAAAGCTTATGTCGTAGCCCTGAAAGATTAAAGACAAATCAAATGGTTTAATGCAAGCAACGATGTACAGCAGCAACTAGATAAATATTTATCATCAATTTAAGCGTTGTGTTTGTTTGGAATCAGTAAAATAGTAGGGTAAGTGGGAATATGCCAAGAAAATAGTTTTTAATGACTCGTTTTACCATGAAAAATGCAAGAAAAATCAAAGTCTATTCAATTTTTTTTAGATTCTTCTTTTATTTAGATTTGTTAGTTTTTATACAAAAAACAACATTACCCCAGTGCCTCAAAGGCTTCTGCCCTTTGCGGGGTGGGGGGGGGGGTCAGATGCACGCAAGCAAACTGACCCCTATGTTTAAAACATAGAGCGGCTGTTTCCAGATGACCCATGACGAGCTTCAAAAGTTGCATTGACTAACTGCTACTTCACTATTGAAAGAAGATCAGATAGTTTAAAGAGTCATTTGTTTTATTCTATCATATCCCAAAGGCAAAAAACAGTGAATCTAAGGCTCCATCGGAAATGATGGTATTATTTAGTTTTTTATACAAGAGATATGAATAAAAGTGAGTTTAAATAAATATCTGAAATAGAAATATTAATTTTGAGCATAACTTTGATTTTCCCCAATTTTCTTTCCTTCCAAATTTCCAACCTGTTTTCTATAGATGGCATTTTATTGGATCCCAACTGGCCCAAAATGCAACAAGCATTCAAAACACCAGGATATTTATATTATTGGATTATTATGTACAACGACAACAACCAAACTCAATATAATCTCAACCCATTAATGTCGGGGTCAAGATGTACATCGTACACAACCTTACTCATGTAGAAAACAAAGAAGCTGTTTATGTTAAACATTTGATGCATTGTTGCATTTAATACTTAAAACATTGTCAATAAGGACTCTTTTAGTTCCATACTTCCATTGATGGTGGACCCAATAAATTACTTTTTTGAATTCAAACTCTGAAGACCTCAAATATACATGTTCATTCCTACTACATGCTAAGATTATATATTCCTTCATGACTAGTACATATGGTTCTCCAATGAACCATGTGGAAAGAGAACATATGAGAGTAGTGCAAATAATTTGGATTGTCTGTAAAAATTTGGTTCAATCTAATGCATGTAGAAAATTAGAAGAAAGCAACACATACCTGCACTGGCTTTCTTCTAAGTACCTGAAATGCCTCTGCTCTCATTGACAAAAATCTAAGGAACTTTTTTGCCAATATGTTTTCAAGTTCATCGGCCTGCTTCACCTATAATAACGTAAGAGGAATTGAATTTTTCAGTCTCCAATTCAACTAAATACTTCCCATTTTATGACACTATCTTCATCTTTGTGCTATGGACACTGAAATAAATCAAATCCACCCCTCAAAAAGATGGGGGAGAGGGGATCTAAAAAGCTCGATAGCATTGCTCTTATAACAACCACTATTTACAAATTACAACATTCAAACAGAAATTTCAGAAATCTCAATGCTAGGTATCACATTTCAACGTGGTAAACAGAGCATTATGAGAGGGAAGAGCTACCACAGAATGAGGTTTTGACAACATCTTGATCCGGAGTAGTTAAAGTTTTAGTGGATATAAGGTGATTCAAGTCCCCGATGGCTAACTACCCACCCCCAACACCCAAAATGTCAATTTTATCCTTCAAAGATGCACATACCAACCTTTCGGATTATATTTAACATTTTCCTTTTTCTAATGGGATACAAAAACATGGAACTTCAAAATTCTAATATACCAAAAAAATTGTATTAATTTCATGTGGCTGAACCAAGAGACATGTATTGAATAGTCTAAAGAGTCAGAGAATGAACCTCTAACCAAATTATTAGCATGGAACCTCCTTTTTTTGCTGCTAAACCCTCTAAATATGCATAATCATTGCATATATAAGCATTGTGTTCTTTTCTCTTCTTTTGATGTGTCACGTAAGAAGTGTAAGGAAACATTCAAGTAAATAGAGCGACTTATTGGTAAGATATTTCCATGAAAACAGGGGGCGAAACAAATAGACGGGCTCGTGGAACGCCTTGTGCATAATCACTTAAAATGTAGAGGAAACCAAGAAATTGAAATCAGATTTATACTGAACTCTATGGCCTATGGATTCTGAAATTTTGAGGAGTACGCATTGTTTGCAGATGATCACCATCGTGTAACTATTCTATGGATGACTTGAATATATGTACTGAGAAACAGAATCGGGGATATGCACATTCCTATAGTCCTACTGGTACCTTGAGGCTTATCCTCAGTGAATTGATAGAGGTTTCTATTAAGCATTTTTCAGCCTCATTTCGACAAATCAAAACCTGCCAGATAGTAAAGACGGATTCAATATTCAAAAGAGAATACCTCAATGTGATTTTTAAATGGTAAGCTAGGGAAAAAAACTCAAAATTATGTGTGTTTTTATAAGTTACACAACAGGTTTAAATATCTGTAACTCTGTAAGCAATAAATCAAAAGCACCAATGCTTATCCAATGGACAGCAATAAGAAAAACAATTTGAACTTAGATGAGCTCTTACAGGATTAAGTAGAAGTTCTTGGCTGGTCCTGAATATTAGACAACATTAAATAAATTAGAATGCGTCTAAGTGCATAAGCTGAACACAGAATTGGACATCTCA